ATCTTTAAATTTCAAAATATTTCTACTCATATCATTTTTATATAATTTTTTTAATGTATTTTTCTATAAAACTCGGGTTTGGGGTATACCTACAAAAATAGGAATTGAATCGAATATTTGCATTATTCGTATTTGATTCATATTTTCAAAATCAAATAATTATATTATTTGGTACGGTTTGATTATTTCCTTATTCATAATATTCGTACGGATAATAAAAACATCATTCGATTCGATTTGATTTGAAAATTAAATTCTTTAAATAAATTTTCAAAAATGAAAATATTATTTTTTAAAAAAGTGATTTCTAGATATGGAAAAAGTTAAAATGTTAAATACTTGAATAATTTCAAATATTTATGAATTTGAATATTTATAAATAATTTAGATGATTTAAGAAAATATTCTAAATAATAATAATTTTGATCCACCGTGAATTAGAGCTAACTGCGAGTGAGTGATAATAATAGATAAAATATTTCAACAGATAATATATTTTCCTAATTCATATTAGATTCGAATTATTCTTCGTAAAATGGGAATCGAATGAATAAAATCTAATTGAATATCGAATAAGTTCGTTAGGTATAGTTTGAAGACAAGGCAAAAATTAATTTATACTAAAATCGATTTTGAGAAAAAAGTGTTATATATTTAATAGTATTTTGTAATGATAAGACAATTATTTTAGGACCTCGCCGACTTCTCAACTATATCCCTTCAATTAAAAATAATTTCTCTTGAATGGACAATTAATTAAAATAATGAATATTATGTTATTAAAGTCGCTGTTAATATTAATGAAAACGATTTCTATATACTTTTTCCTTTTCATCTCTATTTTCTATTTTATTTTTTCCCCTTAAATCTCCTAAGATAAAGAAGAGGATAATTTATCTACGCATATTTTATATTATAATATTATACTTGATAATTTTTTTTAAAAATATATAATTAATATTAATATAACGTAAAAGTGAATTAATTATTAATGCAATATAAAGGTAGAGTCCGTTTATTTAATGATGATAATCATATTTTCTTTTTCATTTTTTCATAAGAAAAAAATAATTTTCTTTTATGAAAATCGATGTCTATATTTTTTTTTTCTTTATAGTTATACATTATTATTTTTATTCCGGTATTTTCATTCCAATCTTTCCCTTATTTCCTCAAATTCTTTTTAAATTTTGCTACACTCCATTACATAATAATCGAGTTTTATTTTTACTAACAACATATAACATAGTAATAAAAAAAAATTTAATTATTGATTAAGTTTTATTATTATTTTATTTCCCATATATAGTTTTTTTTCGGGGCTTAATTTAATTTGGTATCGTAATTCGCAATAAAACAAGGAAATTTTTGGCATTTAATTGAATAAATTGTATATATTTTTTTTAATAAATAAAAGGACCTAACTAATCCCCCCCCCCCTTTTTATTATAAAATATATAATAAATAGCATAAATATCTATTAAAAATGTCTAAAGTAAAATTATGAAAAATTATTACAAAAACTCTATAAAAGGGGGGAGGGGTAGAGAAGCTCTATTTGAGTAATTGTTCTATTTTTTTAGCCGTTTTAGTCATTTAGTCGGCTAAATAAACGACTTTTAGGTTTTAGTCTAAAACCCTCACGGGTCTTTTTAGATTTTTCTCAAGTTTTAAAGAAACATAAAAAAATTTACTCGCTCTACAATCTTTAGGGAAATTTCTTTGGCAGGATTAAGAGAAATAGTTTTTTTTTGAAATTTATTACCCAACTCTAATTTTTTTAAAAATATTGTAATTTTTTGAATCAGAAAACGAGTCTGAGTTTTTTATTTCTGATTATTTAAATTTTGTTATTTTATTTTAGCCGCATTTTATAAATGATTTCAAAGGCAAATTGAAAATAGGAGCAATAAATAAAAATTATTTTTATGCAAGGGTGTCGGTAAATATTCATCTACTAAAATGATATGTAAAATTCTTTAAAATAAAAGTATGCATATATATCATTGCCTGATATAGGCTTGTGGGGTTAGTATATTTTCGATATAAGTGGAAGACTGATTTTTGTAAGGTTTTGCTTAAAAAATATAAGGATAAATTTTACAATTTTTTAAATTCTTTTTAATTATTTATCTAATCTGATTTCGGTTAGGGTTAGCTTTAAGATAAATAAAAACAAACAGTGTATATTATATAGAGAGGTAGGGTCTGCAATGGGCGGGTTTACATACGTTTTTGAGTTTTCTAAATATTTTCAACATGGGCGTACGGGTTGAAAATTTTTTAAAGTAATAGACGGGCATGGGCGTGTAAATTTTTAGTATCAGGTGAAATGAGCAGAAGAGACTTCAATTTATTAAAAAATAATAGTTATATTTCATAATATTGCATATTTAATTAATAATGCATTAAAATAAATAAGTAAAGGACCAAACCAGCCATTAAAATAATTTTTAAACGGGCGGGCGGGTTAATAATTCATAAATGAATGGGCGAGAGGTTGGGTTAAAAAAAGCCCGATAATTGCAGTCCTCAACTAGGGGGCTTGAAATATTTTATTAGTAATACCGGCATCTAAGTTCGGTAAAAATAGCCTTAAATGAATATTAAAGGCTCCAAAATATGATATTCCAACATTTTCTATCTATTAATGATATAATATTTTTATTATTCATATTAATACAAGTCAACAAAAAATTTATATACGAAAAAAATAATCAAAATAATAATGATGAAATATATTGTAAATGTTAGTGTGCCTGAGACTTCGTCTTTGCACGGTCTGCAATGTAAACTGAGTCTTCTATTGCTAGCTATGGGGATACTGCAACCAAAGCAGAAGTGAGGAAGGATTATTGTACAATTTAGGCGGATTCCTAATGCGTGGGTTAGCTCATTCTTGCAGTCGGAGTTGAAGATTTTTGAAGGAATGACTTCTAAAAATTCATGCCCGCATACATAGTAAAGAAGTGAAGAGAGAAAGGTCTGTTGGGAGCAAGCTAGATAATAGGGATTCAATGCAGCAACTGGACTGTCCCAATCCTTCTACCTATTGGATTCGGGCGATGGGACATCATAAATGTGTGTCCTCCATAGCAGGTATCATCTAAGGAAAGTCATTTTGTGAGGTGTGGGACGTGATTATGGGTTTTGAAAGTAAAGTGCTGTAATAAAGGCAGTGAGAGAAAGATCAGTGGGAGATCTTATCCCTAATCCACCACTTTTCGTGGGTAATGAAGCTTGAGCCCATGCTGTTTCATTGAATTTTAGATTCAAAATATATTAGGTTAGCATAAATATTGGGAGGGTAAAAATAGATATTGAAGGAGGTAACCAAGCTTAACCCATTAATGGTCACACTTTTTCCAGCCGATAAAAATTCTTGATTTTTTCAAATTTTATTTATTTAAATCTAACTAGGAAATCATAAAAAAATCGTCCTAAATAGGAAATTTGAACTATTGCATATCTGCAACGTTGACCATTAGGGGTATAAAAATAAGATAAAATTATATTATTGCAAAAAATTGAAATACGATAGATATTTTCAAAATTTATTTACAAATTTTAAATTTATAATATACAAAGTTGTAATTTTTATATTTTATGAAATTTTTTAAAACAATCAATATGTAATGGTATTTAACACATGTTAAATATATATCTTATCCTGCTATGCCAAAGCTTAAAACGTCGCCTTTTGTTATCGATAATAGTTGCAACATAATTTACATATAAATTTTCAGCTGTTTCACTTAATGAGGAAAATTGACTAGGATGGCCTATACTTGTACTCATCTTTTTATTCACCAGGGAAGCTTTCAAAGATGTCGTAGTTATTTCCTGCCAAAATGTTAGTAATGATTTTATATCATCAGGATTCACTCGATTCCATAACTTCCATGAATTTACTATTTGCTAATACATTAAAATTGCTAAAAATAGGCAACCACCATTTTTTTACCTCATATTTATTCTACATATTGAAACTATGTTATGGCACAGATTAACGCCACCCATATAGGAATTAAATGAATTATTGTGAATTTTTATTTTTAAGAAAATCTTTCGAGAGAATCTTAATACATTGAGCTTTACATATTGATGAACTATCATTCCATCGTAATACAAATATTACATATGACTTTTCAAATCGATAATCGTAATAACCCCTCACTTTTCTGGCATGGAAAGATATTGATAAATAGGTATTTTAAACTTGCAAAGTTCCCATAATAGCATAAATTATACTAAGATGACCAAAGGTAAATTTTTTATTGGCGTTATCTGTTAAAATATGAGAGATAAGTCCAAATCCCGGTAAAATTAAAATATAGACTTCTGGATGTCCAAAAAATCAAAATAAATGTTGAAATAAAATAGGATCACCCCCACCCAAAGGGTCAAAAAAAGAAGTATTAATATTTCGGTCTAAAATTAATATTGTTAATGCTCCAGCTAATACAGGTAAACTTAGTAAAAGTAAAAAGGCGGTAATTAATGAAGATCATAAAAACTATGATAGTTTTTCTATGGGTATACCAGTTGGGCGATAACTTTAATTGTTTCTTGGGGATAATTTTCAATTGCGATAATAGAGATGTAAAAAAAATTATCGAAGTAAATAGAATTCAAAGAAGGTACTTGGACAACTTTGAATAAATTTGTAACAACTATACTTCCTAATCCAAGTTTCGAAACCATTGGGCTTTTATTTTTACCTTGATCTATATTAAATGCAATATATATCGGATGAAGCAAGAGTCAATGATTTATATTCAAATAGAATGGGTTTACCTTTGATAAACATTTTACAGGAATATCTTCTTCGTTACCCAACATTTTCTCATCTATGCATAAATTATATAAAAATATATCAAATTGTTGAAACTTTTTATTTGGTAAATTTATATATGGGTTTTATAAAGATTATTAAATTGGATCATTTTTTCTCCATTTTAAATTATTTCGAAAATTTAATTTGCTTTCTTGATTTGTAGATATAAAGGATTTTGAGACAATATCAATGACTGCTGGTTTATGGATTTCGATCTCCCCTGCAGTATCTAGTGGAAGATTAGGTGTGTCGGTTAGATCGTTTTCATCATAATCTTCTTCATCACTAATTAAAGCAGTATTAGGAGGTATAATTGCAACTAGAGATTTGCAAAGTTAGGGCCGGCCCGTCGGGCCGGGCTGGGTCGGACCTTGGAAATCTTATTAAATATATCTAAATTTATCAATTTTATATTGAATTTTTTATGTAAAATAAGAAATTTTGATTTAATTTATTGAAACTAAACTCTATATAACATATGTCTTTTATTTTAAGTAATTATAAAAATTAATTTCTATATTTAAATAAATTCGGGCCTGGCCGGGCCGGTAAATTTTTTAAAATAAATTTCGGGTTCGGGCCAGACCGGCAAAACTTTTTAAAAAATTTTAAGTTCGGGCCGGACCGGCAAAACTTTTTTAAAAAAATTTCGGGCCGGGCCATGCTTGAAAAATTAGGCCCGATACAGATCACTAATTGCAACATCTGTTTCTTCATTAGGGCCTTCATCGAAAAGCATGGATAGGGCTTCATCAACTGTTAGAAATTGTTTTGTCATAATAATATTCTAATATTATTTTAAAATTTGGCCAATATGAGATGAAAAAATACTGGAATTTTATTAATAAATATTAAAAATATTATGATGAAAATATAGTAGTTTTGTTTAAGTAAGAATATAAACAAAAATTTCTAATAAAATATTATGCCAAATTTTTTATATAATTTTTTTTAGAAAAATTACTTTTTTTGAATCCTTATGTGGTCAACGTTGCAAAAATCATCAGTAAAAAAACATATAATTATAAATACTTGAATAGATAAAATGATGGGCACCTATTAATTAGAATAGGTTAAGGAATCTATAAGGAATAAATTTATTTCAATTACATTTAAAAGGAATAAATACTCTTTCAACGAGGGAGTCTAGAACATATGGCATATTAGTAGCACAAAATTGTCGATCTTCAATGGCATCAAGCATACTCAAGAATAAATATTTTTTAAAATGTTATACTACAATCTTCGAGCTATAGGAATCATATATGAAATAATTTAATTCAAAAAATTTATATGTGAAAAATCAATAAATAGCAACTGTTGCAGATATGGTGCGTTGACCAGTAATAGGTTAGAAGGATATCAAGAGTAGATATCAAGAATAGAGTAGAGGAAGGCACTGATTGCAGTGAATTTGCCTTCTAGGTAACCTAGATGTGTTAGCTCCTCCTTGGAGGTAATTTTGGAATTGTGGAGATTTTGAAAGAAGTTTACTTGCATAAATTCGGATTTTAGGGTTTGAGAATGAGACTAACAGCGCATCCCATTTAATTGATAATGTGTACGATTGCAAGACAAAATAAAATGGATCCTTGTGAAACATTTTGTTGGATGTCCTCGGCCGATGGAAATTGGTAACAAGAATATAAATATTTAGTGTTGCATGGGAATGATATGCTCGCTGATTGCAAGAATGAATTATGGGTGAGGGTGTTGTATGCATTAGCAAATTCAACTGATAAGTGTTTCATTTATGGGATTACTCTCCAAATAAAGACAAGTAAGATGTACAGCGGTTTCACATCATCCAATGACTTCTGCCTCTAAAAGTTGCGAACATGACCATATAGGATTCGGTTGCAAGGATATAAGTTTGTGAGCTGATTAATGGAGAATTGGTGTCCTGGAGGAATGGGTCTGATTCCACCTAGGCTGTGAACCAGAATCTCGGGGGTAAGATAGGATTGCCTTCCTTACTTTATCTGAAGTGATATCGGAAGCACAATGTTGGGTGATTGGTTTTGAAGTGGAAGAGGGGTGTTTTGAAAGGAGTTTTATGTATGTCTCATCTGAGTGGTTATCAAGTGAATCATAAAAAGTGGTCAATTTTAGAGCACCTTTAATATTTAGTCGATTTTCTTTGAAATAAGTTTGGCTTTAAATTAAATAGGAGAAGTTTTTTTGGTTATAAAAAATTGTGGGACCTTTAAACTCTTGGAGATGGGGAGAAACATTGCAGGATGCATCTTTAATTTGTTTAGTTAAATAAATTCTTGAGGTTTATCAGGTAATTTAAAGGTATAAAGAATAGGAATTTAAGCCATTCCATCTCACTTTTAAAGTTTATCAATAGAGAGGAGATACAATCAGGGAGACATAGCGACTCATAATCCAGCACCTTTGGGAATTCTTGATATGATTTTGGGTTTTCTGGTATTGAGGAATAGGTCTAAAAAAATGTATTAGAAGCGTGATATAAAGGGGGTTCTATGAAAGGGCTGGGAAGCGGGTTCTAGGAGAGAGGTAAAAGTATTGAATGAGGGCACCTGTTAATGATTGGTCTATGAACATAAAATACACCATCATTTGTTGAATGAATAAGTTTCAGGCAGGGAGAGCAGATTTTTGGTTCAAAGGGGTTGGCCATTGTTATAAATTGTAAAGCAAAACTTAAGTGAATAGCGCCACTATATGTAAGGAAAATGAATTAATAAGATAATAAAAGAATTTAAAGCTATATCCAGATGCGAAAATAAAAAATTGATAAAAAAAGAGTTAATATGAATGAATTTTAGGCTAGACCTAAGTCATGTTACAGGGCGAAAATAAAGACAACCAAAAGAAAAGATGTGATATATATAAAAGAAAAATTTAATTGAGCGGTAATTAATTTAGCGATAAAAAAAGGCGTTTAAAATTAATGATATATTTTTAAAAAAATGATGGTTTAATGGGTAGTTCACTCAATATTTGCAATCTTAAGATAATATAAACTTTAAACTTAACACTATCGCGCGATAATTAATCAACTCTGATTGGTAAACGGAATAACAGTTTGTTTAATGAGTAATTTACTTAATATTGGCAAGTTTATGAAAATATATGAACCTTGAACTTAACAGTAACGCGCGATAATTAATGAACTCTGATTGGTAAACGGAATAACATCTAATTTGGTATCGCTCAATAGACAGGTTTTTATGAGATTTTATAAACCTTGTTCTTAACGGTAATTTTTAATTAACATTTCATTTTTATTTTTAGAATACCCGGATTATTATTTTTTTCGTTTATGATTTTAATATCTTAAACAACAGTCTATTATTTTATTGACTAATTTAAGTTATTTTTTGAACTTTCTTATCAAAATGATAAGTTATCAATAAAATTTTAAAATTTAAGTTAAATTTTTTTTTTGAAATGTCCTATTTTTTATATATAATTTTATTTTCATTTTTTTTATACATTTAAAAAAAATTAATTATTAGGATTTTTATTATAATAGTAATTTGATGATTATCAAAATAAAGCTTAGTTCAAAATATTAGCTATTTGTGAATCTTCTAATAAGTAATAATCATTATAAATTTTTTTTCTAATTATTATAAAATTATTTGAAATAATAATTTATTTTTTATCATTTTAGAATTATAAAAATCAACATCAATGTTCTAGAAGTTCAATTCTTAAGCCAAAGATATATTCTATGGTGCTATTGCTTATAATAATATTTATATTTATTCCAGTTATCAAAAGAAAAATGCGAAATCAATAATAAAGCAAAATAATATTAGAAAATACCATTAATTCTAAATACAAGAATATATGTAATTTTGCGTGAAGAATCAGATATTTTCTAAAAATTTCAAATAATGAACACAATAAATGCTACACATTTTTTTAAGCCTTCGTCGTCGATCCTAACTACGGCTATTATGATAGTCCCATCGTCAAAACCTTTTTTATTGTGGCAGGAGATAGTAATATGGCTCATGGTAGGTATTCTATGCTTCATGACCGTTATAGGGAACATAATGGTCATTTTAGCATTTATGAAGGATGTTTCCATTCGACAACCTAACAACTATTGCATAGTGTCTTTAGCTGCCTCAGATTTGTTGATCGGACTATTTTCCATGCCTTTTTATACTTTGTATTTATTACTCGATTATTGGCCACTCGGCCCATTTCTATGCGATTTATGGCTCACAACCGATTATACCGCGTGTTTAGTCTCTCAATACACTGTCTTACTTATTACTGTAGACAGATTTTGTTCAGTGCGAATACCGGCCAGATACAGGGCTTGGCGAACTAACAACAAACTAAAATTTTTGATTGTATTTGTGTGGGTTCTTTCATTCGGAATATTCTTCACGTCTATTGTGGGTTGGCCACTTATCACGGGGCGCAGACTGAGAGGTATCACCGAATGCTACGTACCATTTCGAAATAACAAGGTGTTCAATACAGCTCTTATATTCTGCTATTTTTGGTCCTCCTTAATTATCCTCCTCTACTTATATCACGGGATCTATCGAGTGGCTTATAAGATAGCCAAAAAATCTGACAATCGTAAATTAAATACCCTGCTCAAAGGTAACGAGATAATATTTAAGACAGCTACGACAAATTTTCCTTTGTTACGAACTCTTAGTCAGCGAGGTTCTAAGTATCAATCGGATGAAGATAGGAGGTTAAAACAAGAGAAAAAAATTCAACAAATTTTGGGGCCAGATAAAACAAAACTAATAATTGAAGATTATCCAGATGATGAAGATACCGATAATATTATACCTTATGAGTCATTTAAAAATAAATCCGACGATTTGTCACCATCTCTAAGAGCCAAGAATATTAAAAATGTTAAAACTATTAAATTATCGGATAGCTACACGAATGGCACGAGCATTGATAAATCAACTTCTCGCAGTAATTCCAAAAGTAAAAGTATATCCGAAAACTTTAATGGCAAAGATTTTAGTTTATCCAATACCTCCGCTCCATTCGTCAATTTTAACAATGAACGTAATCATAGCGATATGGATCTCAGTAAATCTTTATTTACCAGAGTAATTAAATATAATCCAAATCAACTAAAGCTTAGAGATGCCCCTTCACTTAAATACAAAAGAGTATTTAGCGAAACTCCTTCAGATAACTCTCCATATTTGAGGAACAATTCTCTTAAATCGGTAACAGGCAACAAATCAATGAATATGACAAACTCTGTCATAAAAAATTCTAAGTTTCAAAAGTCGGGATCAGAAGATGATAATAGTCGAAGTAGTCTTTCAGGGCCCGTGGATCCGTATTACTATTCATGCATTGACGATCATAACAAGAGATTAGATCAGCTATCTAGTCATCAAAAGTCAGTTAAAGTTATAAGCTCTTCTACCATAAAGGAAGAGGAAGGAAAGGGAAGTACATTGTCAGAAAATAATAAAGATATTTTAGGCCAAGTGCAACCCAATGCAGCACTGACTGATTCCAATTTTATAGACCCTAAATCGACGCCGACAAAATTATTTTCTAAAAAGACTCGACGATTATTACCAAAAACCCCGTTTTTTATTCATGCTTTTAATAGGTTTCGTTTGAGAAAAAATGAAGCCAATTCAAATAGTAATGATGCCCTTGTAAAACAAAATTTAAATACTGATAACAAAGACATGGTTCTATATGATGATGATCTCTTGTCTAGAATTTTGATTGAAAAAAAGAAATTGTTAAAGCCAGGAAATTGCGAGATATTATCAGAGAAGGAATCGAAATTATCTAATGATAAAAATTTGAACAATATTAATAACAAAACCGGTAAAATTATCAGCTATAAACCAGTAGACAATTCCAAAGAAGCAGGCCATAAGGAAAATAACAAGAATTTTGAACGAATACCTGATAACCTAAAAGTCTTGCCTAAAGTGTCTAAACAAAATAATTATTATTCAAATGTAAGTCAACTTCTTCAACTGCCATTCAAAGGGCCCACCATGATTAACGGGAAGATTAATAAAAGTATAGGTCCGAGCCATAAAATCAAAAAGGGTTCCGATGAAGAAATTATTCTAACAAACAACAAGCCTACCTTTCCAAAGCAAACCATAGTGGTCAAAAACATTTATAATAACAATCAAAATAATAAATCTATCACTAGTAATATAACAAGTTTAAAAAGTACAAGTTACCCGTCTTCTTATTTAACCTCGTTTATGCCCTTAACCAATGTAAGCTTCAACGATTTTCAAGATGCAAGCAATGTTAAACATGGTAATGAGGAAAACGGAGAGAGACTAGATAATAAATGTAATGAAAACAAGGCGAAAGAAGAAAATGAGAAGAAAAAAAGAAGTAAAATATCTAACACACTTGTCGCCCATAAGGCCAGAAGTCATAAAAAAAGGCCCCAAAAAAATAGTAGGGCAAGAAAGGCCCTTAAAACAATCACTTGCATTATGGGAGCTTTTGTGCTGTGCTGGACCCCATATCATATTCTCGAAACTATATGGGGTTTTTGCGATAGTTGTCAAATTAATCCTCATTTTTACGCCTTTACTTATTGGCTCTGTTACTTAAATAGTCCTCTTAACCCCTTCATGTATGCTTTGGCTAACGTGCATTTCAAGCAAGCTTTTATTAAATTATTAAACTGTAAAAAAATAGACTAATAACTAGTAAAATGAGGATAGATAGGATGTGCAATAACGGCGAATCAGAATCAGCATTAGGACAATACAATTATTGACATGTTAAAAATTATCTCGGTATCTATGCATAACATCAACTCGATCGGATCCGGAGATTTATTGCCATATTATGATATTTTGATATATAAATGAAATGTTCATATTCTTATTGCCAAAATAAATTATTAATTGAACATAAAAGATTGACAAAGATATTGATTTTATTATTTTTGAGTTTTGAATATTATGTTTAAATTGCTTAAATCTAGTATATCTACAAAATAAACTTTTGGAAACTTAATTGTTTGTAAAAAAATATGCAGATTTTATTACCTCAAGCTAATTAATTTTTTTAATTAAAATTATGAACGAGATAAACTGAAAGAAAAAGCGTGTAAAAATTATCTAAGTAATGTGTATTTATTATTCTTGTTTTGAAGTCTAAAATTATAAATGATTAGCGTTTTGATAATAAATCATCGTTATCGTATTATCATAAAATTATAATATTGTTTAATCACAATCTCATAAAAATGGTCCAGGACAGTTTTGTTGGTATAATGGGATCTTAGCAAGTATAAATATCAAATTTATAATATAACCATTCCTTTTAAATATATTGTTGGTATAATGGGATCTTAGCAGTATAAATATCAAATTTATAATATAACCATTCCTTTTAAATATAATTAGTATTTATATTATTGTAAAACGTGTTATGCTTTATAAACATTTTATTATATCGTTGTTAGCCATCCTATTCATTTATTCTGTTTTTTATGGTTAATCATATGGTAAGAAAATGTAATTAGCAGCAAATTAAAATATAAGTATAACAAACAAAATTAATGACTTTATAAGAAGCATTATTTTGGTGGAGGTTTAAAAAAAGAGAAGGTGAATTAGAATAAAAACTAAAAGAAAATAAATAATTAAAATTCAAATAAACTAGTTTATTGTTATTCAAGTTTGACGAATGTAGTCTATTCGTACATGAGGAATTTGGTTTTTTATTTTTATAAATATAGATAATGTATTTTTAACAGTGAAAATATGATTAGGTAATATTATTGTTTTAATTATGCTTTTATATAGATATTTAGATGAAAATGTATTAGTCTTAAGGGTAAAAAAAATGTAATTTCAATTTCACAGTAATCTTTTTCTTATATTAGTGTTACATTTTTCAAAGATTCCACGAGTCTATTTGATTACATTTTAATGCTGTCACTACTAAATTATAAAAGGGCCAAAGATACAGTCAAAGACATCGAGGCTCATTTTTTTAAAATACGATTAAAAGTTTATTTGGAAGGGGGGGGGTTGAAAGTTATGTATATTATTAACTTTTTGATGGTTATTTTTATTTTGCTTTTAAAATATGTTATATCTTTAATCATCTCCTTTAAAAGGGGTTGAACAATTGTAAGCACTAATTCCAAAATCTATGCCGATGTTTCGTGTTTTATTACTACCTATGATTGCTTCAACCACAGTATAGTACAGTATAAAGGAAAAAATAATTATTAATTAAATTCTGGCCAACCATACGATTAAAAGATAATGGAAGGAATTTATTCTGCAAATTTTATCAATATTGCTTAATTGTTAAATTTTATCCGTTTGATATAGTAGAAAGAGAATAATTAATAAAATAAGAAAAAATGGCTAACTATAATAGAAAATATAGAAAATCTAAATATCTGATTTGCACTAGTATTTCTTGCCTAGTTAATTCTTATTAATTCTTCAATCAATTTTGAGAATCAAAAAAAAAAAATCAAATGAAAACTATGACATCAAGCTTTGAGTATGAAGTGAACTAACTTTTGGGAGTATTAGTTTTTTTTAAATATAATTCATAAGAAAATGGAAAATCTGATTATTTATATGAACTGAAATTTTTTTATCTAGTTATCAATATAAAAGTATTAGGAAAATAAATTTTTTATCTAGTCATTTTTTCTATGGGGAGGGAAGAGTTTCAACACCTAAGCTACCGAATGATGATAATTTTTATAATATATATATATTATTTAACTTTAGATTACAATTGCTTTAGTGATTCAGTATTTTTTCTTCTATCTTGAATATCGATACTAATTTTGGAAAATTTCCTTTTGTTAATAACTAATTTATATTGATTAATATACAAGTTAAAGCACTAATAAAGCATAAGATGTCATTGATTTTGGAAATAATGCTTCCAATTGTATAGCCAACTTTAAAGGGAAGATATACACATTTTAAAAAGCAAAATAAAAATAGCCATGTTAGAATCAACAATATTCAATAAGAATTTTTCATAGGAGGGACCTAGCAGAAATCCGATAAAATGGAAGTTTGGAAACAAAGCCCCCCCCCTCCCCAAAAAAAAATTACCCCCCCCCCCCCCTTTGAATAATCTTAGCTACACCATTATATTAATACAAATATACAGCTGAATTTTTAGTGTAAGCTGAAGTCAATCTCATTGGCTATAATACAATGGTTTAAGAGGTATTATGTCTTATACCTTTCGCATTTGCATAAATGCCTTTCAATGGCGGATTTTATTGTATATATATTTTATAATGCATATGAATAAATCGTCAGCCAAGGTTAGTATTAATGGCATTGGTCGAAATTGACTTCCTAAAAATATGATGTATATTTTGTAAATATTAAGTTGTAAGTAAAATAATTAAAGGCATCTTTCTTGAATTTTCTATACTAGCAATGCTATATTAGTGGGTTCTGAATATTTTCTGCATTCATAATTTATTCAAAAATTGGGTGATCACCAGAGCAAAAATGACACCATCTGGCCTTATATTGTGCTATTTATAAGATTAGTGGGTAAAAGTGATCATGAAAATCTCGATATTTATTTTTACTAGCTTTATGCAATATTGATATTGACGATAATGATCTGCAAGCCCAACCCGATCACCCCCTGAGTCAGAATTTACTTTAATTTGGGATGAGCCTATTTTTTTAAAATAAATTTTTTTGGGCTATGTCAATCCTTTTGTAAAAAATTTCGGGTCAGCCCTAATAATCTTTAGGCCCGATACATATCTCTAATTGAAGGGGTTGATGCTCCTTTTAAACTTTACAATAAAAAGGGGGGATAATTTTGTAGTCAATAGAAGAAATGACCTCAACTGGTTTATTTATATTCAATAATAATAGACGAAAATTAGATCTAGAAAATATCTTTACAAAATCTACCTGATTTGGAATGAATTAGTATAATAATAAGGGTTTATTACAATTTAGTATATCTGTTTTTAGAATTACCAATTTTGAATTTTATTAAAAATTTCTGGATGTCCGACTCTTTCCTTTCTCGATTCCGATTTATAATGATGCCGATGATTAAGACCTATATTATATATGTACAAATTCCTAATAGATTTTAGCTGCATTTTCTAGATAGTTTTAAAAATAGAATTAATTTTTTTTTAGCAGTAACTAGTAAATTATAACTAGACTTGTAACTAATTGCTTTAACAACACTATTGACGACATTTTAGACATCTCTAACCTCCTTTAAGAGTTTGGTTTCAAAAAAAAATCCGGAAATAGTATCGACATTCCCCACCCCATCCGGGACGTATATTTGCCACACCACTTAAAAAATAAGGATTTCTTTTATATATAAATATAATCATTTTTATTTTACAAATTATTATAATTGACAAATTTAAAATATTTTATTATTCATATTAACTTTTTGGTTTATGTTTTTAAAAATAAGGTAAATTTTTATAGAAAAAACTTTAATTTTTTATTATGGTTCGTATAGATACTTTAATGTTTTTAACCAGCTATCATCTGTGAGACTAGAGGACTTGAAGTGATTAGTACTCAATTTTATTATCTTTCTTTTAATATTGACCATATCCATATAGAACTATATTGCTAAAAAAATTAACAGGCTTGATCTCCAAAGGCTTAAATTCCAGTTGAAAAAATCTATATAATTTAAGGTAAATAAATAAAAAAATTGACACATAAGCTATATTTATCTATTTAAAAAGAAAAAAGGATTTAATATACTAAAAATTTCTTAATATAGTATTTCTTCTTTTAAAAATTTGAAAAATTTATATTTACAAAGCCAAATGGAGGAAATGGGGATTAATTTATCGGGACTAAAAATAAAACTCAAAGTGTCCCATACATACTTTGAATGATATGTGATGAGGGAGACCAGGAAATAATTGTTATATTAATTTATTTCACATTAGTAAAAGGTAACTAATATCATTTCACTATTTCGTGATAATGCTCGATAATAACTATGCAAAAGTTGTGCTTCAGAATATTGTGATAAAAGTTTCGCTATAATGTATGCGCTTTAAAAGGTTCGCTGTTCAGATTTTGCGAAAATAAATACGCGATTATGGATTCGCCATATGCTTCGCGTTAAAATTTTTCCGCGATAAAAAATTTACTAAAAAGTGTAGCATGATAAAAATTTTACTGAATTGACATGGTATAATGTTTATAAACAATTTCTTAAAATTCTTTTTTATTCTAAATAAAAAATTTAAACATATTTTTCATGGTAAATAAATATGAAGGATATAAAATATTTAATTACCATTAATATAGAAAAAAAATTTTGATGTAGATTGATTAAATAAATTCTCATCATGATAATTAGGAGATGAAAATATTTCATATTAGAAATTCAATCGTCGTTTAAGTCTTCTATTTTAATTCTTGACAGGGCTGTAACGATGGGCTGGGAAGGGAGATTAAAATCATCCCCCTCTAAAAGAAATTATGGACTTTAAATTAAATTATTCAAAATTAATTTTTTTGCGTTTTATCCTTTACATACATTTATAGAATTTGAAAAAAATCTGCAGAATATTTTCGAACACCAAAATCTAGTAAATCTTTTTTAATTTAGATTATTTTTCAAAAAAAAGATTTTGCTCAAAATTTATTAAATATATTTTTCATACTCTAACATTAAAGTGAATTATTTTAGAAAGGTATTAATTAATGTAAATTTATGCTTATTATTTCTTAATTCCGTCATTTTAGTTTACAGATTATAGATAATTTTCTATAATTATATTACATTTATACTACCTTAATCATATTGAGCTTCTTATTCATGATTATTAAATCCATTTATAAAAATGTCGAATCAAGTTTTATTAGATTATAAATACCTTATTTGCGGGCAATTAAAAAAATGCGCGAATAGGCGCATTTTGGAAAAACAATGCTTTTTTATTAATATGCGAAACACTCACATCTGTTTATATTGCTTATAGATTTTGCGATAATAAGCTGGATTAAGCACATTTTTAATTACTAACGAAGAGATAGCCGATGAAAAGAAGGTTATATAATGAGTTTGATTGGTATACATTTTTAAAAATTTTTTGCCCTCCCTCATTGCCTCCTTCCTATATTCAAGCAAAATTTTTTAGTTATGTTATGGTCCTGGTGGCTGTTTAAGTTATTATAATATCTTAAGATTTTTATAAATCAACAATTTATGTTTCATTTTTAATAAATGCTAAAATTTATGAAACCAAAAACGAGAATTTACTGTTGATAAAAGAACAGTTTTAGGTTCAAAAATCGGATACTCATATCTTAAATTTATATGAACAGGAACCAGGGCCTTTTAAAATTTCAACCAGTTGTAACAGTAAAATTAATTTATATGTATAATAAAAATTTGGCTATATATTTTAGGTCCATTTAAATATCTAAATTTTAAAAAAATATTTCATTCCTCCCGGAGAACCTGGTTAAATTTCAAAGAAACAGAATTATTTTTTTTTCAAAAATTGTTAGAACTAGAACATAGTCAAGCTCCAATTATACTCAAAAAGCAAGATTAAATAGCAAAAAATATTCTACCAATTTTTATAAATTAAGTTTAAAATAAATAAATAATAATATATATAGAAATTGACCAATTCTATAAAAAAATGCTAATTTCTCCTGAAATAGTAGAGCAAAAATATTTTCATCCTTAATCCTATATTTTTGCCCATTTACCCTCTTCCTCTCTCAAAATCATTTAATTTTAAAATAAAATGAGGGTACGAATAATTTGCAGCATTATCCAGCCAAAACTAAAAAAATCTCTTAACAAATAACAACGGAGAAAAACTAAGTTATAGACATGCCTACAACCTAGCTCAACCCTAAGTTTGCATGAAATGCAACCTATATATAGTAAACTTTAAAGAAAACTTGGACTTCATTGCATCAAAAGTCAAGGTTAGCTAGGCCCTTGCAACCTGTCAACGGACGATGTTAAGATCTGCTGGCATGGCAATTATTTATTGGGCCATGGTAAATCTCTAACTTTAAACTTTACATGCTTCTTAAATTCCTCAATATATAGTAATAGCATCTGCTAACGACTGTTCGCTCCATGACCTTGAATTTAGCAAAAAAATAATTGAATCACAAAAGATCGATTAAACCTAGTAAGATTTATTTTAAGGGCAGAAAATACAATTATAAATATTTAATACCTAATTGTTATTTTTAGGAACTTAATTATGATATGTAAATTTTAAAAAATGAAATTTTATTTGTTTAGCAATGAATTTAATAGAGTTGTTAATATATCGTGATTCTTTGGCATGTTAATATATCTTATCTGATACGATCTTCTAGTATCGAAAGATATGCTATACTTTTGACAGCTATATAAATTATTTAGATTTTATAAAATTATAATAGATAACATGCTCTATCTATATTTTAAGCCTGCTTGAAAGTTGAATCCAAAACATATAAAAATAAAGAATGAGGAGCTAATATAAGAAATAGTTAAAGTATTATCACTCTTCCCAGTTTTACAAGTTAAGAATTATTTTTGTGAACAGACTAGAGTCATTCTTAATAATTTTCCAAAAACTATTCTTCCATTTAGTGCATAGGTACCAGTAAAACATTTATTCTATTAAAAGAAATTATGTAGAGTAAAATAATGCATAATTGTTAAAATTAAAGTAAATATAAATGTTTAGTATTTATAAAATTGAAAATTAAAATAAAACTTTAAACTAATAATAATATCACTCCTTTCCTCCCCTAAAATTTATCTCTCCCCCTCTCCCCGAAAAATTTAACAATTTCATATCTCATAAAGAATAATTTGTTATAAAACTTCTATTTTACATAGGAAACGAAACCATTACAAATCATAAATAAAATTTATAAAAAAAATGATTTTTAATTTTTATGCCGGCTTCAGAAAGATTTACTAAATGTAATTTTAAAGGTTCAGCGTAATTAAGAATATATAAATTAAAATTTCTTACCTATAATTTTTTATTTGCTTAGCGACTTTTATTAAATTAATTCTAATGCCTTGTAAAATATATTGTTTGTCAATTATTTTTTCCCCTATATTTAAATTTCTAACTTTTTCTTTTTGTTAAGAAAAAAAATCAATTTGTTGTGTTAATAATTAATTTGATCTTATTTTTTCTTATCTCATCTGTACCATCTGAACGTTGGCTTGGTTTGTGTGTTCTTAAATAATAGGTAAAGAAGAAGAAAAATTTAAGATCTCAGAAGCTAAACATAAAATTAAATGGATAATATTTTATTTAATTTTCACAAATTTTTCATTTACAAATTATAATTAAAAATATATATTAAAAAGCAAATAATACATTAAAAATGAATTAAAAAATATATATGTATAAAAGAGAAATGAGATAAAAAAAATATAATTTAACAAAAAAAGGGTAAAAATTACCATAGAGAAAAGTTAATGACTAAAAAATTGAACCGGCAGATTAAAATCCTTCATTGGGGTTCTCTGAGATCTGCCTCATTTTTTTTCCTATAGTTTTGATGAAATTGAGAGCATCACTTCCGAACATGCCTAGGGTATTGGTAAAGATTGGGATAAACACAGTATTAGTGAGGCAAGCATATTTGTTTTTTTTAGGATTTCGGCCTTTTCGATGACAGAAAATGAGAGGTTGGACTTGGCGGCAAAATCGACACAGGTATAGTCCCAAGCTAGTAGGAGACCATTGTTCCGGGAAATGAGAGATATCCCACGGGGCGTATGGCGTTTTCGTTTGAGAGGCCCACTGGTTCGGGGGTGGATGGAATATTATTTAAGAGCAGCTAGGAGGTTGTTGTTACGTCCGTGGGAGAACTTGCAGTGCAAGGGATGGTAAGCTTTCGATTCAATGAGATGGCCACAGTCGATGCAAATTGAGGGAACCACGGCATTACAGCCAAGGCGGAGGGCTATGGAAATGCGTAGCTGTTCGCCAGAGAAGGCCAATAAATAATTTTTTTTCCCTTTTAGGCCTCTATGTCATTTCAATAAAAAAATAATGCATTTTATTAAATAAAACCAACGCTAAAATTTTTAAAGAGTCAATGCCAATATAAAAGTTCCTTTTGTAAATACAAAATAAAAATCTGATTTTTGGGAGTTTTTAAATTTTCTTATGATGCTTAGCTTAGCTTAGATATAGACCAGATTTTCCTGGGTGGGATAGGGTAGATTAGGTGCTTTCCTCTTAAATTGTCATTGTAGACCAGCCCTTTGTGTACCTTTGATTTGGTAACATTTTTTGGAAATGGTTTTACACCTTTTTTAAAAAGGTATTCTTTTCAGAGAATATTTTAGTTAGCATTTCTACATTTCCAATGACAATATTACCCCCTAAAATTTCTCTCGACTCCCCTCACCCCCTATATTTATCCTCTTATCCCCATAAAAATTTATTAGCACAAGAAACCTGCTCCCTATTTTCGATGACTCCCCCTTCTCCCTCCTTGGTAGAAATACTTCTCAGTTAGTCATTAAAAATTATCAACTAATTTTTTTTAAAATATTGATTAGGAACATATTGTAGTCATGATTCATTTTCGGGCTGGATAGTGTAAGGGTATTTTATTAAATTAAGTTTACGAAAACTTAAATTTGGTTATAGGAGGAATTTCTAGGTCCTCTTCTTGATTATACATATGTTATTATAACCAGTTATCTTAATAAATTATAATTTACTACCAATACATTTTAATTTTAGTAATTACGTTTCAAAATAAAATAGATCTATTTACTACTAAACATTTTGTTTAATATTAGAAGATGTGTTCATCATATGGTTAGATTGATATGCAATTTGAAGCAAGCCTAGATGAGTATAAGATTATAAAAATATTAAGTAGAATGATTATGAGTCAAATTTAAACTTTTTATTTATTAAGGTAATGGCCACTTTAATAATAATCAAATTTATTTAGTTAAAAAAAAAGAATCAAAAACTAGAATAGTTTTAAAGAAAATTGATATGGATAATTTATCAGACCAATCTCTTAAACTTATACAAGTAAATTAATTTTACAATGCTTATTTTTATGTCCATAGAGGGAAATATGTTTAAATAAATTGATACAACATGCAAATATTTTGAAATATAATGATTGTTTCATAATAAACTCATATTTATGGTGTTCTACACCTTATATAACTTATGGTAATATTAAATAAATGATATAGGTTTTACAAATTTTGATAGGTACAATCACAGATATCATTAACAATTTTTATAATAATGGAATTCCAGAATTAATTGCTATTAAAATTATTTATGATATTATTAAAGCCCTTATTTATATACATTCACGAAATTTAATTCACAGGTAGGCATAAATATTTAATAATATTACTCATCAACTCATTAATTGCTATATCATTACACAAAGGAATATCTGCTCAGACAATGTTTATGTATCAAATAGAGGTATTGCTTATTTATCAGGCTTGAGATGTGCTTGTAGTATGTATGTCAAAGGAAAACATGTTGATAAATTATTTGACTTTCCATATTATGCTAAAAATATACATTTGAGTGCTAGTCCTGAAATGCTGTCTCAAGTATATATATATATATATATATATATATAGTTCAATGATTCTAAACAATTAGGTATATATTGATCAGAGACCTAAGGCTAGGACCTATCCTGGAGCTGACCACAAAATATTATGATTTAAAATAATTGATGTGGCTCAGAAACAAAAAAATCCAAACCTGAACTGACCCTATTTTCTTTATACAAAATCCAGACTTGGCTGAATATTTAAAAAATAATTACCTAGCTAAATTAACATTTGTTTACTGCATATTAATGCAAGGTTAAAAATGATGTTTTCAAGCCAGGCTTGCAGATGTGAAAAATTTTAAATCCAGGTCAGACCTGATAAATTGGCATCTGTGTAGAGATCACCCTGGTCCTCAAAAGTCTCGCCATGAACTGTTGAAAAGATTTCCAGGAGGGCCAGATGCTTGTGCAAAATATTTATAGGTCTGGCCTGAAGTTCGCAAATGTTTTAGGCTTAGAAATTAGGCAAAATTTGTGACCTTTTTCCTTCATATAAATTATATTAGGCCAGTCCAGAAATAAAAAAAATTATTTTATGAACCAGAAAACTTGATCAAAATTCACTGTCAGCCTGCTCCCATCTCTACTCTCAGGTCTCTGATATTAATCATGTAATTCACAGTATTCCTTTTAAATTATAAAGTATTATATTTTAATAGATGAATCCACCTTTAAGTTTTTTATAAAAAGGTATAAATTATAAAATGGAGGGGGGGGGCAAAATTTCAAATTTAAATGATTCATATCTTAAAATGAAATTTGATATTCCTATAAAATCACAAAATAAAATATCACATAGAAATTTTAGTATAATAAATAAGTTGTTTATTTAAAACAATAAATTTGTTCGATAGAACTAATTTTGTTAAACGGCTTGAATTCACGGATTTTTTAAGATTTTAGCCAAAATAATATTAAACAAGCATCGAGATTTTGCTACTAGATGTCCAACATTTCTTCCATCTATGAACAAAATTTCTAGGATTGCATAATATTTTTATGGCTGAAATCTTGAGTTGACCGTTTTTAAAAATCGAGTGTGCGCATTAAAATTAAAAAAAAAACTGATTTTAACTGATTTAAATGCTTATGTAAAATCATAATTATACAGGACTTGAGGGGTTACAATAAAAAAACAGATATTTACAGCTTAGGACTAGTCGCATGCCATATAGTGAGTGGAATAATTCCGTATTCGAACATAGAGAAGACTCAAGTATGTAATAGATTCATTATTTTGATTTTATTGTTAAAATTTTCTTTCTTTTTTTTTTGCAAAATTTATATAATCTTGATATATTTCTATTTTTAACAATAAAGGTTTTTCTAGAAAAGATTAATGGTAATCTTCCTTCTTACATGTCGTTTTTCCCTCATAGACAATCACTTATAATGGGAACGATTCACAGCGTTAAAAGTATTAAAATTTTATTACCATATAAAACATACTTGTAACATTTTAGCTTTTCTCACCATATATTTTTAGCCTTTTGAGAAAGGTTATATAGGGTAGAAGGGTTATAGTGCTTACAAATTTATCATGGCATTTAGCGTTTTATTTTTTTTCTAAAAAAACGCTTTATTGTTTAAATTGAGTGGTATTTTTTTTAAATAAAACGCAAAACTAAAACGTTTGAATTTTTAACCTATTGCGTTGCGCTGAGTTTCTTCAGCGTTCTTTGTTATGCGCTCGCAGGAAAACCCAAAACCAACATCTTAAATAATTTCCTTCTATTATTTAAAAAAAATAAATAGATAAATTTACTGGCTTGTTATTTAATCAAAACAAGATGGGAGACTCAGATGACCCAGATGATGAGGATCAATCAGTTTTAAAAAGCGAAAATGATGTAAAAAATAACGACGAATCTCTACGAAATTTAGAAAATAGGAATAAAAATAGAATTGATAGTTCAAACGAGGATTCGAGTTATATAATTAGAAGAAAGGTTATACCTTTTACCGACGAGATACTGAAGAGAGCCAGGTTCCCAAAATTCGCCGATTTTTCTTATGACACCGCCGAAGATTCTCTTGATAATGTAATTAATTTTAAATTATAACTTATTTTAGGCTAAGGCCATTCCATAGTCTTTTAGCGCTCGAGATAAATGTTAAAGGATAACAACCCAATAATTAAGGGTAGCAAAAATCGATTCCAAAAGATTTAGATATTTCGAAGCGTTTAAGGATTAAATTTGTCATCTATTTGATAGCTGTTAGTTGGTATTCATTCCGATTGATATCCACAAATTTAAAAGAGAGTTTGAAATGCTCTTCAAAATAAATAAAAATCTTCAAAGATTTTGATCTTTGATTTTTTTATTAAAAATAAGATTTTTTTTATTGAAAATTTTTTCAAAAGATTGTTCTAATAGAAAATTTTTTTAAAAGATTGTTTTTTTAGAATAATTTTTTTATTTTTTTTAATAGAAGATTTTTTTAAAAGATTGTTTTTAACACAATTCCCATATATAGTTCTAAATACATATTTGAATCAACTCACGAAGTTTTATTTTGTAAACCACCAAAGGACTGCTCGATCAACCTCGCAGCCCTTAGAATCACAATAATTTAAAATGATTGACATATTGATGTTCGACATGTAAAACATATAATATTGTAATAAGATATTATATAAAACTAAATATATAATCTACGAATCTACATTAAAACTACTTAATTGACATTGGATATTTTTAGAAAAGTTATACATGTATATAATGTAAAAATACACAATTACAACAGTTTTAATAGAAGATTTTTCTTTGAACCTTTAATATAAGTAAATCTTTTGATTTTTTGCATAAAAAATTTTTCAATATTTTTTTTTTTAAAAAAGGGAGTTTGTTCTTTTATCAGAAATGATCAAAAAAATTTTTAATTTTTCGAATTCTGATTTAAAATTATAGGTGGATGCACAATATATTTTATCAAACGTTTAATTTCTTAAACGTTATATAACGCTTTGGCAAGCCTTAGGAACCAATTTCTATGACTTTTTATTATAAAATTGTTTTTTTATAATTGTCATTTACATGTTCATAGTAAATTAACAGAATTGTAATTTATCAAAATAGTGTTTTCTTCTTCTAAATTGCGAATTCAATCCGGAGCGTTGAACTCCGTGCTCAGTGGACAAACCCAAAACCCTTAATAATTTTTTGATAGACATTTCTGACTCCGAATCCGTTTTTGCTGACCGTGTTCAACGTCTTGCCCTGTATCCATTGATTCGAATTCAGGAAAAGGGGGTTCTAATTTTGAAACTAGTGTCAAATAAATTACTAATATTTTTTAATTTTTCAAATGATTGGCCCGAATTTCTTAATTTGTTTATTTATAAAATATTAATAGAGCTTCGAGGAATCACCTCATGCAGATGCTAATCGAGCGTCCACTAGTCATGTTCCTTTCTTTTCCCATAGAAAGAATTCAGCTTCTCATATTGCAATAATCGAATCGTTGCCTAAAAACATCGACCAAAATTTTGAATCATCTGACACCAAACTCAATAAGGAAAATATACTTATATCTGATAAGGGTATGCAAGAGTCTAAATCCAATTATTTATCTTTTGTATTGATCTAGAAGAATATTATATTAATCAATTTATATTTAGTTTTTTTATCATTTATAGGGATTTTTTAAAAAAATTTTTCTATTATTGTTCTGATATAATATGAGTTATATATATTAAACAATTAATTTAATGTTCAACAATTAAATTACTTTTAGAATTAATCCTTATTTAAATAAATTTCCATTGGAAAGGAATTCAGCAAATTTGTTGAATTTAATCTAATCGAACATGTAATGATAAATAGTTATTTAAAAAAAATATTTTTAACAATCTTAAGCCGGCAATGAGAAAATATTGGAGAATGCCATAGTTAGCACAGACCCCGGTCCTTCGTTTCCAGACGTTCAAAAAAAGCAACGTAAGAATAGATTCAAATTTTTTCATGTCACAAAAATTTCTAACGGAAACGAATTCTCAGCTTCTATTACTAACAACGACAACAATAAACTTCCCAACCTAAATCATCTTAAAATTGATAAATCAAGCGATGAAATGAAAATATCGGAAAATTCGGCCACAAAGAGGCCTAAAAAAAGCGTCTTTTTTAAACTCCCTTTCAATCAAAATCATTACACCTGTGATGATAATGATCATCAACTCAAAAATGTTTTAAATCGTAAAATAAAAAAGGCGCCGCCGGCTCAAAGGCATTCTCTTCATTACATCCCTTCCATTTTTCTTCTCAGGAGACAAACCGCGTTCGAATTTGTCAAAAAACGACGCTTTAGTAGCAAATTACCCGGCGCCGATTTTAATTCTCAAAATGTGCAAAAGTTAATGCTTTTTTTGTTATCAATTCATTTTATTAAAGTTTACAATTTAATATTAATATTTTCTAGCAATAGGTATAGTTGGGTAATGGCAAATGTCGGCTAATTCGGTTCAATCTTCAGGCACCTGCCGGAAAAAATCCGTTTAATTAAGGCATTTTAATTTATATAGTTTCTTTCAAATTTGAGCTGCTCTCATCTTATGAAAAACCCTGAGGTCAAAGTGATAGTTTTCTGCTAAAAACATGATTTAGCTGGTTAAAAATTAGCTTAAACGGCTAAAAATATAGTAATCACCCAACTATAGCAATAGGTTAAATTTTACCTATATATTTTTTTTATAAACTTAACATAACTCATTTAAAAAACAGATTGCCCCAATATGCGGTTAAATTGGGTGAATATGTAAAAGCCGAACCTAACAAAAGAATTTTTACTAAACGGGCTTCCACGGGTAGGAAATCATTGACTTATTTGGAGATGTCTTACGATATGAAAAATTTTATATTTTCCTGCCTTAATTACGAACCCGAAGATAGGTTTCAACAAACAATTGTTATGTATTATAAGTTGTAATAATATATATTAAGCTTCTCTTTTTTTAAAAAAAAATGAAGATAATTATTTATTATTTTCTTCGAATAGTTTTTTTTTATAAAAAAAACCTTTTATAATTGCGCACCAAATTGAGTGTTTGCGTTATGCCGTAATTTTTTAATAAAAAAGAAAGTAACGCATTCCTTGTTTAAATTTCGATTTCTAAATATTCCATTTTAAGGTAAGTATTGAGAAAAGCAAACCTCTTTGCGTTTTCCTAAATGATTGCTAACGCCAAACAGTATTTTTTTACCAATTTGCACGATGCCTTTAAAATATTATTATTATTTTTATATTAAATAGACAAACTGCCGAAAACCTAATCACTTATCCGTTATTCAAAAAGGTTTATAAATTTCGTTCCGAATTTTTGTCCTCTTCCGTTTCATCCTTAGTCGGGGATATGAGTAAACAAACAACTTATTATTTTTTTCTCACCATTTTTAAGCCTTATGATTTAAGCATTAAGTAATGTTTAAATATAAATTTTTTTTGAGGCCTCCCCTCTACTCTCTGTTTTAAATTGATTTTGATTTAGATGATATGACAATGCTTATAAATAAAATATTTATCCTCTTTGTCCTATTATCGGTCAAATTCTGTCCATTATTATCTCAAAAATCGGAGACCTGCAGATATACCAATTTTCAAGGTTGATCAGACTCGGATTTAAAAAATTACTTTCCACCCCGACTGACGTTTTTTAAATATGGAATTAAAAATAATTTTGATTGTATTGTGTAAACAATTTAAATAAAAAAGTGACGAGAAGGGAATGAATTGTTTAATAGTTATTGATTCACTTTAAAGAAAATTCGGCCTGGCTCACGCTTTTAATTATTTTAGGTCCAGCTCGGGTTTCAAAAATCCGCGAACAACATAATAAGTGTTTATATATATATTTATATATGCTCTTATTTCAAAAAATATTTTTATCTGATTATATTTAGCTTTAGATGACAATAAACAACTAAACAAACTCGAAAAACAAACTGTCGATCATATTTGGAGTTTTTAGAACAAAAATAATTTTATGCCACTTTTTTAGAAAAAAAACGTTTATTTAAACATTTTTTATATAATATTTAAAAAAAAGTATAAATTTTTTTAAAAAAAAAAATCTCAAAATGCAGTCAAGTATTATTGTGCATAGATAGATAGGCTATATTATTATATTATATACTAGATGTTCGTTTCGTCTATTTTTTAAAAAAAATATTATTTCGGAAAATTTGGGGTCAAATTTGAATTTAAGAATGAATATGATTTTATGTAAATAAATTATGTATGTGTAATAATTCATCGAAAGAAAATACAATCGGTGAACGCCTGATTTTATAAAATAAAATAAAAATAAACCAAAAATGTGTATACATTTTTTCTATAAGTAACATAAAATATCAATTTGAGGACTAAAGATTAACGCTTTAATAATAAATCTACGTTTTGGGAGTAAAATATAAAAATTTGAATTGCAGCTTTATTTATGAAGGATGAATGACTTTTACTCAATAAAATTTTGTGTCGTTTATATATAATCAATATAATAGTTATAAAAAAATTACTTAAAGCGAATTCAGTGGGTTCAATTTATAAAAATCTTATATGGCGATATATTGGATAAAAATGCATTTTTATTTGTATCATTCCCGTATTAAAACAAATCAATAAGATTTTTTTCTTAATTTCTACTTTATTGATACTTTGCAATGAATAATATATTACTTTAATTATTATGTTTAAATTGGCGGGAGGTAGAGAAACTTAATATTAGGGAATGTAATTAAATGTTATCTTTTAGTTTAACTTGATAATAATATTAATAAACAATTTTCATTATGATATAGATGAGGAAATTATAAATGAAATTAAATTTATTTGGTGATCTTTTCAAAGAAATATATAGATTTAAAAAAAATTATTTGTGGGGGGAATTACCAAAAAAACTTCTTCATTTTCACATGAGAAAATCCAAAAATATATATAACTACAGATGCATAACAAAAATCACAATCATAATGATTAGAAACTTTTAATTTATTACATTTATAAATTCGGTTATAAGAACGTAAAATATTTTAAGATAAGTATTCATCGTTGGCCCTAGTGTACCCTGCATTATCAAAGCCGGAATACTGTGTGTGTGCTTTATCGGCATGATCCGACTGTCGATTGCTCGTTGTATAATGTAGATTGTTTGGATTATCATTTTCATTACGTTTGTTGTAAATGCGGCCAGTTTTATATGTGGATAAAAAGTCTTGACTTGGACTTGGTGCATATTTCTTATTCTATTTTGTTATTAGATTTTAAATGTTTGTATAATATATACATACCTTTTAAAATATTTTACCTTAATTTATATTAATTAAAATGTTTACTATTTGATATGAATCGCTTGATATTCGTTGTGATGGATAGATAGTCGACTCACCCTCTCCGGAACCTTTAACCCATTGTCTTTTGCCTAAAAAAGTGAATATGCTTTAAATATATTTTCTATACAAATCATAAATTTGACCACATTAAAACATAATTTTTAGATAGATTAGGTACCTCCTACTCCTATATATACATTATTTTCATTATCCGTTTCAATTCCATGATTGTCCGTGTATTCAGCCGTCTCCTCTTCTTCTATATCTTCTGTTCGAGTTTTTTTTGAGGTCATTATTGGGGTAGTGGATCTTCGTTCCTCATATCCTTTATTTATTTTTTAAAGTCATTAAACTTAAAATACTTTATAAATGCTATTTTATAATATTGTGTTTGACTACCGTATGATTCTCCCTTTTAAAGATCAACCTGATCCATGAAACATTTACGGCCCAAAATAATATTTTAAACAGGGCCAGTTTTGTTAAGGAAAAGATTACTATTTATTTAAAATATTCTAGGCTTCGAAAATATATTTTGTACAAATTATCCGGAACGATTTTTTTTATCAGAGCTCAGGCCCACTAACCGGACTTTGGACCGCAAGATCTCTGATTCTTGTAGTGATATAATAGTTTTTAAAAATTATAATATTTTAACTTCTTCTGCCTTTTGGTTTTTTGTAAGTTCTTTTCCATTCCTCTGTAGTAGTTTCTTCAGTAATTTCTGTAGTTTCTTCAGGTTTAGCAACCTTGTATAACCTGTCGTCTTTCGCTATATTATATAATTATATTATTAAATTGTTTCAATTATTTCTTAATTTTTTTCAAAATTTATTTTATTACCTGATAAAACTTCTCGCCCTCTCATCGTTTCTCTTTCCATTGCTGGGATCTATAATTGATAAATAAGGAAAATACTTTGATTTTTTCTATCGATGGAAGAAATCCATTTTAAAAAAGTTATTTTTGTTCTTTTTAAAATTATTCAAAAATGAAAATGATATTACCAAAACGTAAAAATTACCCAAAACATTATTATAAACTATGGTTCTCACTGGTGAAATCATAGGACGCGGTATAACGTAAGGTGCTATTTTCCCGTAATCGCCCATACCCTTTTATATTATTATATATATATATCAAAAATTGTAATGATTAAACGAAAATAATTGGAAATATAGATCAGAATTTTTGAAAACTTGATTAGCAATCTTTATGTTTTCAGCCATACGTTTCTTTCGTTTTCTTCCAAAACACCAACAGAGAGGCAATAAGCAACAACATAACAAAAGTAAAAGTCCCAGTAATAATGGCGCTAAAATAGCCAATAATTTTCCGTTGTGCTGGCATTGTTTTCCGATCCACCATTTATCGCATTCACAATACCTAGTGCCATCTGGGTTCAATCTACAATGTCCATGGTGGTTACAATATTCGTCATTACAAGCTACATTCATATATCATAGAAAAGAAAGCCATATTGTTTTTCGTAAGAATATTAACAATTATAATAAGGTGACATGGGAAGGAAAGGGGATAAGCCAAAAAAATACTATTACTACACTATCCTTCTATGGAATTACAAATATATATATATATTTTAAATTAAGGAATAGTAAATAATTTTTAATGTATATGGAATTATAAATATATATATTTTAAATTAAGTAATATGCAAATAATTTTTAATCTTTCATTCATTCTTAACCAATATATAGTATAGAATATTTTATTTATTGGTTAATTTTACGGAATATTATTCCATCAGTCGTTCCAGGGTAGGATGAATCTAAAATAAAAAAAAAATGTTAAAAAACATTTATAAATTATTATTTGGGATGTGCTGATTTTTCAAATATCAGATGGCAGGATCATTTGTATATTTAAGAACATCGGTTATTTACCTGCCGTTAAATTGACTATCAGGTTCAAAATGACCGATAAAATAATGTATTTTATTTAAAACAATTATTCTTTTAAAATTTGTATAATACATTTATTTGTAATTTTTTAGTTTATCCTATGCCTTATATATTTTTATCTTAATACCTATTAATTTTAAAAGATCCGGTGTTCAGCTGATATCGATAAAATTAAATCCGCCTCTAAAAATCTACATCAGTACACCTCTATATATTATACTCATTAAAATTGTTTACTTAGGCATTTTCCATCTGGAGTTCTAATAAATCCCGGAAGGCAATCACAATATATAGAATTTGTAAAATTTTTGTATGCAGTATTATTATTTAGTATTCTACAGATTTGATTAGGACCACAAGATATGTTTTCGCAAGTTATTGGTGGAACTACGCTAGTAGTTATTATAATTATAATTGGTGGAAGAGTTGCTGCAGTTGTTTTTTGATCCAAAGTGGTATGTTCCTTTGTGACAACAGAAGTCTCAATACTAATTTCAGTTGTTATTTCCGTCAGTTTAGTAGTCTGAGGAGGAGAGGTTGTAAGAGGTTTAGGTGGTTCCCATTTACCTAAAATAAATAAATTTAAATAAAAAGAATAATTGGTTTTATTATAAAATTTATATACTTCGACAATTGCCTGAGCTATCTTTTATATATCCTGGGAGGCATCTGCATATAGGCACACCATTTATTAATATACATTCTGAATAAGGACCGCAATTTATTAATTGTTCATCTATCTTACGACAATAAGTTATAATCTCAGCCGAGATATGTGTAGTTGTTTCTCCTTATATTTTTTATATAGGAATTCAAATGTTAACATAAATTGATATTAGAGTAGATATTTGAAAACTTAAACTTAATATACAAAGATTGAAAAGTGCTTACTAATGCAATTTTGATCTGTGGTATCCCTTATATAACCGGTTGAGCAGACACATTTTATTTCATTGTTACTGAGAAATATCTTGCATATTTCATTTACTGAACAACCATCATTAATAATAGGATCACAAGCAGCATATATACACGGAGCATCTGGATGCGAAGATAGTTTCCTATAGTTATATGGGCATATACATTTCACAATATTTCCAATGAGAGAACAGATTTCGGGTTTATTACATCCATTATTAGTAGCTGGCTCACACTCCGCTCTGTAACATATACCAGTTTCAGCAGGAATTCTGATAAATCCTTTTTGACAAAGACATTTATATTGACCACCTTTGCCTATTTTATTAACAACATAAGTACATTGTTCATTTTGCTGACATTGCCCACTAAGTGTCCATCTATTTTTCACATGATCTCCTACAACAGTATAAGGGTCGCATTCCGATGCTACGCATATGTCTCTCTCAGTGGATTTAGATTTAGCATTGAGAGGGGATTTTATATACCCTTTGGCGCATGTACAGTAAGGGTTAGAACTCTGACCTTGCTTAGTTTCGTAATCAATCTTACATATTTCATTACTTTTGCAACCCGAATTGTCAATGGGACTACAACTTCCTTTAACACATGTATCCCCGATTTTATAAAATTGTGGGGCTTTGCACTCGCAAAAAGGTAAATTATTGTTATAGTTTGATCGTACTGCGCATATTTCATTTTGGCGACAACCTTGATTGCTATTCACGTCGCATTCTATCTTTATACAGACACGAGAAGGAGATTGAATGTAGCCTAATATGCATTGGCATTCTAATCTTTTACGATTATTTTCATTAACAAACACACATTCTTCATTTTCCCCACATCCAGTCCCATCCGAACAGGTAGAAGGGACACAATAATTATTGCCTAAATTTAATAATTAAGTAAAATGATTATTAAGAAATAAAATTATAGTATACTTTTAACGTGTCGTATAAACCCGGACTTGCAGACACATCTTGTGCCTGAACTCTTATCATTTGTACAATATTCATTCGGTCCATTACATCCTGAGTTGGTTCTAACATTACATATCTCTAATAAGCAATCATCTTTATTATAATTAAAACTAAAGCCTTCTTTACATTGGCATTCATATTGACGACTAACTTCATTAAACGAACAATATTGGTTATTTTTACACCCTATATGAGTCCTTGGGTCACATAAGTTCCGTAGACAGGGTTGATTCGTATGAGTACGTATGAAACCGAACGAACAAGCGCAATATATAAGGATATTATTTCCGGTAGTTGGATTTTGAGAACTAAATGTACAAATTTCATTTGAACCAGGGCAGCCTGTATTTCTAATTGGATCACATGCCCCCCGAATACATAAGGAATTACCTTTAAAATTGCTAATACTATTAAGATCAGGTAGCTGATTAGAGGTAATTTTATAAAATCCATTTTCACATTCACATATTGGTTGCTTGTTTACCAATGGATTATATTTACATACTTCATTGGTCGCACATCCAATATTCGTATCTATAAAAAAGTATGAGGTATTATATAGCTTTAAAACTTATTTTATTAATATGTATTTTATTTTATCAAATACCGGGGTCGCATGTTCTTGGAACACAAGGGCCTCCTTGTTTAAGCTGAATAAAACTATTTTTACATCGGCATTCTATGTTAGGGGCATTACCATTTGTTCCATATGCACATTCCTGATTTGCAAAACATCCAGAATTTGAGCCTAAATCACATTGAGCTCTAACACAAGGTCCATCTGGAGATCTAGAACGCCGATATCCTTTTATGCAGTCACATTCCATTCTCACAGTTCTTGGGTTGAATGTGCAAGTTTCAAATGGCCGTCCACCACAATATTGTGTAGTACTAGCAATATCGTTTGAGGGAAATATATTATTATTGCCGCTGTTATTTGGCTTGTGAGAACATGTTGAGTAAAAACAAGGTCCTAATTGTGATGTTTTAATGTAACCAGGTTTGCATTTGCATATGGTCCGTTGGTTATTCCTATTTTCATCTAAAACGCATATTTGGTTGTTTTTAGAATCCCCACAAGAGTCCAGCTGTCCAAGCTAAATAGTAATTTAAGAATAATCATAAATGCCAATTTATTTTTTTATATTTAAAATTAAAAGGTTATTTTTAATTTTTTAATTAAGATTGGAAAAATATTGAACCGAACATTCTCCTGGTATCTTATTAACGCATAAATTTGTGCTGCCCAAACAATTTCTTCCCCAATTATTGATGGTGCTAGATATCTCGGAATCAAGGCTTTGACTATCCCTTTTATATACCGGTTTTAATGTAATTCGATAGCGAAACAGACACCCCAAAGGTAATGAATCACTGACATCTATCATTTCTAAATTTACGAAATGTTGTCTGATATTAGGAGATGCATTAATAATTTGCCTCATCTAAATAAGTAAATAAAGTTTTATTTTATTTTCTTATGTTAACCCCTCTTTCAAATGTGTTTTCCAGATATGTATAGTCGCGAGAATTATTCTGCCTAAAATTTGATGGGCAGGTCATTCTTTTATATCCTTTTCTGACAATATTGATGATTAGGTCATGTTCTAAATTATTTACAAATAAAAAAATATATATTTGTGGTAAGCGAAAAATAATTCCCCGGAAAAAAAAAATCCCCAATAATAATTCTTATAAAATAATTCTCCGGAATTGATTTTTTCAAAATTATAAAATATTTTATTTTAGGATTTTTATTCCATGGATATATTTATAGGAAATTTTTTCTCCTATTTTATTAATTTTGTAATTTTTAATATCTTAAAAAACGGAAATTTTTTTTCCGTTTCCTAGATTCATAATAAATTTAAAAAAATTATATTATGGATTCATAACATTTCATCTTATTTATACCTGTATTGACAGGAATAGTGCATAGTGTACCACCTGGTAAACAATTATTGTCTTGACTAGTAAAACCTTCTTTAATGAAATTTGTTATCTCATTAGGACCTTGGGTATAATTTTGGAGAAGGTAAATCGTGTACGTTACCATAATTCCATTCCTGACAATTGGGATTGGATCCAAATCTTTAACATTGCAAGCAATATACAAATCAACAAAATTTTGAGAACTTCTAAACAAAGAATCCATCTAAAAATAATAAAATTTGATTATAATATTTTTTTTAATAAAAGTCTGGTACATAAATAATGGTATTGATTAGTTTTGCCTTATACAGATTAAGCAAATAATTGAGTTTTACAACCTATGAGCACCCCTCCCTCTCACTTTCCTTAGTGTTTCTTAATATATATTTTTTCTAAAGTTATTCAAAATCCAAAACGTGACCCTTGAATTTCTAGAAGGGGATTTTTATATAGTATCTTTTCAGTCTAGAAACATTGTCTTGAATCTAAGTGGCTCGGTTCAAACTACAGATCCAAATCATCTTAACTTAATTAAAAATAAATCACAAAAATTCAGCACTAATGGTGGAACTATAAACCCAAACAAAATAGGTACTTTAATCAGTTAGAAATTTTTTAAACGGATTAATTTAGTAATAAACAAAGAAATGAAAAAATTTTTTAAGAATCTTATCTTATTCTAACTTGATCAAATAATAATATTAACGAAATTGATAAATTGAATAAAACCGAATTGGTAAAGGGTTCCGCTATCGAAATATAGGCTCTGCTATTGGGATCTTCGTGATCTTTGTTGTAAGTAACCTGTCTTCCGTTCACCGTCATTATAGGCAAAGTATATGTGTAAGATTTGCTTACTAATATAACCATTTATTATATTTTATTTAAAGAAATTTAAATATGAAATAGTTAAGTATATATCTATTATCTATTATTTCATAGCAACATTTTAAGAATAAAAAAGTTTCAAATATATTTTAGAACAAAATGCCTGTAGGTCCGGTTCGGCACCGTTCTGACCGAATATCCGGTCGAGCCGCATTTTTATTTCCCGGGCCCGGACTAAATTTTTTTTAAAATATCTAGAGCGGGCCGGGCCATATATTTTAAATCGCCATTATAAAATAAATGTAATATAATTTTAAAAAATCCGGGCCGGGTTAAAGGTACCTTTTCAGGTCTCTGATTATTATTAGTCTTAACATGAATTAATATTATTTATATATTTGTTAAATAAAATATATCAAAAACCAACAACATTATTATAATTTTCTTGAATTTAATTTATATTGATTGAGCTATAAATTCTGATAAAATGAATGAATATTAGTGAATTAATTTTGTGAAATTGGAAAAAAGGGAAAGGGGAGTCCTCGGAGTTTGAGCTGATCTTGATGAAGTAGATAGCAATTGTTATATTAAGTAAAGAACTTTCGCAAAGATTTACGTATCTGTTGACTAATATTTTTAATTAAATTTTTCAATAAATCACCATTCATAGCTTGGATGGAACAAATGATTGATTTGGTATAAAGATGTAACTTGACGAGTTTACTTAATATTTGACAATTTAGATTTGTAGGTATTAACTGTGTCTTTTTTGGCACATAAATTCGAGATAAATTCAAGAAAGAATAAATACCTAAAAAACATCATCATTTATGAAATAGAATATAAAAGAGTTCCTATCACATATGGGATACTCAGTTCAAATGATATTATTTAAGCTCATTTAACATGTTGGATTTTTCTACTGGTAATGGGATAACAATCAAGGTTGCAGTGCCAAAACTACAATCTTTAGTTTTACATTTAAAACATTTTTATAAGGATAGCTTATTAAATATAGCCTAATTCAATTCTTTTTTATTTCATTTCAATTAATTTTTATAAATGGTATAACTTCTAAGAACTCGCATGTTCACCTTTCATGAGCTCCTAACACATTAATCTAGCCAGTAGATCCTAGTCTTTCTTTATTATTGATTTGGAAATTCATTTAATATTTTCTTTCAAAAAATATGAAAGAAAAATGATAAATTACTGCTTTCGATAGGTCCTACGAACAGATCCGTTGTTCCCAAATAACCATTATTGGATGCTAATGAATCGTAGATGGCTTTGGTCATGATGTAAACGCCTCCCTGATACTGAGGCCTCCAATATAAGGATATAACTATTTGAACGTTTCTTTCACCAGATAGCGAAGGTTCGAATCCGGAAAGTTGACTGCCAACATATAATGGATTGCAAGAAAAAGTATCTCGACAAAAGATTGAATTAAGCTTTCATAATTTTTTAAAAAAAATTATGATAGTAAATTTTGAGAAGATAAATATAATTACTATCAAATAAAAAAATAAAGACTTGTTGCATAATTAAAATAATATATTCAAATTGATTTATGACCATATGATATAATTATTTAAAATTTATACAAAATATTTAACATTATTTGAGTAAAAATCAAATACCACAATTAATTAATATAATACTATATTCTAGGTTTAAATTATCTATGATTATAAAATATACCCCCTTTTCAGCTTTGTCTGCTATCCTAAGAAATGTAGCACTATTCTGATTTAGAAATTCTTGGTTATACTTTAAAGGCTTATTACCTTCTCGTAACACATTTAGATTCACTTTGTACACTAGGTAATCGTCTATTATTTTTTAAAAATATTATTTCGAATATAAAATATAATTATTGATTAAATGTAATAATAAGTTTATTAGGAAATTTTCAATATATCAGGCCAAGTTTCGATAATTTCAGCTGATTACCGCAACCTTTATATTAATCTATCTTTCTAAAACCTTAAAAAGTTAGCCATATTTGCAGAATCATTTCCATTTCTTCATTAAGAAAATATCGAATAAAATGAAGCATAATAAAACTTATTTATAATAGACCTGATTCTTTTATCATTATAATAACAAATTTTTTAGTATTTTTTTAATTCCTTACCTATATAAAGAATAATTATATATAAATATCATAGTGTTTGGTACACAATTTTCCCTTTAAAAATATTATTATTTTTTGCTCTACATTAATTTAAATAAGATTATATGCCCATTTAAAAAATAATTATTTAACCTTTAAACCATATCTATCTAACCCTAACTATAATAAAGCGTGATTTTCGATACTAAATCATTTTTTTACCGAACAAATTTTATTTAAGATCATATTTTTTTTTACTGACAAAAAAATCGGTTATTATTAACGTATGAATAAGGGAATAATAATTGCAAAATTAATTTTTATTCATGGTATTGGATTAGAAATTTTGCATTTTTTTCAAATTATTGTTAAAAAAATATAGAAGGCTAATATTGGCCATGTAAGCATTTTTTTTATAATAATGATAAATTTCCAAAATTACTATTTTAATTTTTAATTATATATAATTTTTTATTTCTTACAAAAATTCTATGATACATATTTCAAATATAATTTTATACAATGCGGCCTTCTTAAAAAAATTTTTTTGTAATGTTAAATAATGAGTTTAGAAAAAAATGACACTGAAATTACAATAAAATAAGAGAAATAAATATAAAATTTGAATAAATTACCAATTTATAAAAAAATTTAAAGCGATTTTTAGTTACCCCGTTCGTCAAAAATATTTTTTATTGTAAATTTCAATGTTAATTGCTTTTTTAGAATGATAAATTATAATACTTCAAGATTCGTAATTTTTGATAGAAAAAAAAAATATTTGAAATTCATCGTTTTAAAGTTTAAAAAATATTATTCAGTGTTAATTTGATAACATTAAAGAGGAAAATAGATAGGAAGATCATGAATCATATTACAAAATTTATATTTAAAAAATCAAAATCATAAAAAGGTGTGATATATAGTACTGGATAATGTTTATTTGAAATTTTGTTTTATTATTAATTGTTTAACAAATCTATTCCTAAAAAATTATTCTGGCCTAACTAATTTATTTATTATACTAACAGTCTTACGTTGAATTTATAGTAAACGCGTTATAAGCTATAGGAAGCACAGCAGATTCTTCATGGAGTTAATATTTTTTGAAATAATGCCATTTTTATATGATAGCTTTCTTGAGTAAAACATTTGATTTTTTAATATATAAATTTTACTAAATTATCCAAAAATTCTGATTATTGTTTTAACATTTGAATTTATCAGCATAAACTTCTATCATCAATATGTCAAATTTGATCATACACGTTATCATCATAATGCTCCATATTTATCAGTGACCTGCAGGCCGCCTAACATATTTAAAATTTTTTTAAAATATACCCGGGTCGGGCCAATATTTTTCTTAAAAAAATACACTGGCCGAATATTTTAAAACCAAATATTTTAAATCACCATTATATATAAAAATTAAAAATAAATATAATATATTTTGAAAAAAAGTCCGGGCCGGGCCGGGCAAATGATACCTACGCAAGTTTTTGATATTTAAAAATTATACCTATTTATTGGCTTGATTTTGTAAATAATGCTGCCTTAAATAACACACTTTGATCCTATCTATTATTTATTAAAATGGACCAATTAGGTCATAGAATTTTTCCCCTCTTTCCCTTTTCAAATATTTTAAATTTTGTTTCTACAAGGGAAAAAACTTAGAATTGAGTTAATATTCATCAATTTTAGAGCACTTGGTTTAACATTATATTGATTGAATGTAAATAACCATTTCGAAGGTTACTATTTAGGAAGTTTCTTGGATGTTAATGGATGAGGGGATTCCTAAGTATAAGAATTGGCTGACCCCGTCATTTTGATTAAAAATAGAGTTTAAATCCAATAATAATCGAGAATGATTCACAAACGTACAATATATTCTACTGTTATAATGTCGTATCTAGGTATGGAATCCAAAATCTCTCAATTTTAAATCGTACTGATAAGGAGGGAGGGGGAGCAGCCTTTAAATTAATAAAATCGGATTTGACGGGATAATATGTTCCAGTCTGTATAAAATACCCCTCCCCCTACCCATACGGTGAATCAGAGACCTTCATGATCATGGGCCGGGTATGAGCCTAATATAATATTTTCTAGCAGGTCTGGGCCGGGCTTGGGTTTTTTTTAATGGGCTTGGGGTGGGTTTGGACCTAAAATTATTAAATTTAAATTTAGATTATTTAAAACAGTTGCTAATTTAATAAAATATTCCTTTTTTCCTTATTTCAGTATTGTAAACAAAATGATTGCCTAAATATATTTAAATATAGTACCCGTCTCCCATGTGAATTTATGAAAAATTTTTGTAACCTTTATCAAATAAATTTTCTTGATTTTTCATATAACTCAAAAGTTAATTGGGAAATTGTATGAAATTCACATCAGAGACCTTCATGGGCCTTAATTTTTTGACCAAGTCCGGCCCAGGCTCGCAGTAAAAAAAATTTTTTGGCCCAAGCCCAGCCCAAGCCCATAATAAGTTTCACAAAAATTTCCCACTTTTGAGTTATATGAAAAATCAAGAAAGTTTATTTGATAAAGGTTACAAAAATTTTTCATAAATTCACATGGGAGACGGGTACTATATACATGCTAATATCCAATTTCGGTATTTTTTCATTTCATTTAAAAAATCGCCCTTATTCAAACGATTTAAAATTTAAATTATGACTCTTAAAGGGAGGATTCTTGAAAAAACTTATCACATTGCATATTATTTTTTTATAAACCATTTGAACTCTGTATTTTATATCTTTTTAGGAAAATTATGTGTCTTGGAGTTAATCTATTAGATCAAACCAACACTTAGGTGGCGATATATTAACCCTTTAAAATACACAATTTATTACATGCCAAAAAACTATATAATTATATATATTTTTTTTAAAAAACATTACAAAAAATTTTTTGTCCTCTCAATAACCATGATCTACTAAGTATTATAAAAACGAAATCTAACAAGTATTTAACATCACACAACGACAATATTATTTTTAAAATAAAGTATTGTATATATTTATTTTTAAAGAAGGAATAAAAAAACACTTATCTTATTTAATATTATTTCTTCTTTTTTAAAATAAAAAATTAAATATTATTTTATCTATTTATTTCTTCTTTTCTTATTTTTATCTGGCATTGAGAGGGAAGAAAATATCATAAAAAGTTATGATATAAAACCGAATATAACTATTGTTGTGTTTTTTTTTACAATATAAGTTATATAAAATAAAAATAAAATTAGCAAAAAAAATTTTTTAAATTATACGAAAAATATATTATGAGTAATAATTGAAAAATGATCAAAAAAGTGAAAAATTTAAATTTAAGAAAAAGAGATAAAAAGATGTAAAAGGACATTTGGTAAAAAAAATTTTTTTTCTATTGTTCTTAACGCGTCAAATCCTGAAATTAAAAGATTACATTTGCCCTTAAATCGTATGCGGGGTTTTAAAAATATTACAGTGAACTATATTAAATAAATATTATTTAATTATTTAAATACTACATGAAATTGATTTTTGACTTGCAAATTTTTAATACTTGATTGGAATTGATTTTAAATGCAGGAAAATATAAAAAAAGAAAAGATGAATTAACATATAGTCGAGGAATTTTCAATGCTACTAAAGAGGAGTAGGGGAAAAAATCGATTGATTTTATATGGTATCTTTTCAATGCCCCCTCCCCCTCCGAAAGGATATGATAAGGATATTTATTTTAACATACATCCAACATTGTTTTTAAAAAGTGAGGGTCTTATATTTAGAGATTATTCTAATATTCGGGTGTTTTCATAATAGGCTACACCTTCTATCTACCATTTTGAACGATTATATAGTGTGGCTAAAAAATGTGTTTACGGATAAAAGATAATGTTTTATTTGAAAACTTTGAAAATGCTTATTTTTTAAGCCTATGTCTGTATCTATATAGTTTTAGGGGATATACCTGTATCTGTATCCATATATATTTGAAATAATCTTTTAAAAACTCATAAATAATTTGATTAAGTATAAAATAAGCATTGACATCTACAGAATTTTATTACAAACCACTAAAAACGACTGGGGAGTTTCATCTAACAGACCTCCATTACTGGCCGGCACCCCTTAGGCTAATAATACGGATCTATATCACAAATATTTTTGCGCTCATACTAAATTCAGTATTTTCTTTGAACTTACTGAATTTAAATAAAATTTGATAGTCTAACTTTTTTTCACATAAGAGCAAAATTTAAACCCAATATGGCAAATTGTGCCACACATAATTGGCGGAAAAAGATTTCAAAAGACTTATATATAAAGGTATATTTTTAGCATACCAAAAGTCAAAAAATGAATATAAATTTTATCTTTTTAAATTTATAAATTCCCTCAAACAAATTTTGCTCCGGAACTAAATTTTAAAAAATGCGTTGCAATTTATATGAAATTAAAATTAAATACAAAGTTTCAAAACTGGAACCAAATTCTGTATCCAGAACATAAAATAAAATCTTCATCATGAAAAAGCTAGAAAATAGAAGAAATCGAAACAAGAACCCATTTTAAAATTTTCAGAAGCCGGTATCAAAATGTTCATGAGGTTGTATTTAGTGTTTAATTATGTTTTTATTGCAAAGCATATGTAGGATCATGTATATCGAACGATTTTAATATAAGACTTTATAACTTATTTTTATTTCCTATTTTCTCTTATTTAAATAGTAATTATTATTGTTATTTAGAGCAACCGTTGTTCGTTTCGGAAAACTTCGAACTTTTATGATATTAAATTGGTAATTTATTTAAGATATCAAAAATTTAATTAGTAATCTTATTAGGATCTGAATTGGGAGGTAGGGGGGGGGGGTATTATTACAAATATTATTTTTAAATTAGTCACTTTTTACAACTATTTATTTTTTTAAAACTATTATTATAGGGTTGGACATTAGTATCTTTATGGAAAGGATGGGAAACGATTTCAAAATTTTTATAACAGTTGATAATAATCCTGCAAGATTTCCAGGATCAAATTAACTTAGGAAATGTCAAAAATAAATATATAAATTTTGAAATATTTTTTTGCATAAATTAGAAAATATAAGCTTTTGTATGGATAGAGGCAAAATCTGTATTTATTATTTAAAGAATAAAATATATGAAAAATAAAATAAATAAAAAATGACGTTTTTTTTAATTTCAGGTTAAACCAAAAAATAATAATTGTCAAAAAATAGAGAGAAAAATGAATTTTAATTAAAAAATAATTTTTTTAACTAGATCAAAAATTATTTAGTGAAGTGGAGATAATATTAAGGTCATGTATATATCCAAAATTTTTTTTATAAAAAGTATTTTTAAATGTTTAATGAATTTAAACAATTTTTTTATATTAATTGTATATTTGTGTCTCACGTTCAAAATAGTTCGATTTTAGATATTTATAATCCTATTGTAAATATCGAAGCAAATCACCATTTAAAATAAATTTGGACAATATATGGAGCAATCTGATAAACGTTTGAAATTATATTAATATAGATTTTCATATAAATTTTAAAAAAAGAAGTTTATAGCGAAAATTGTTTGAAATTCATAGGGTAAGTTCTCTACACATGCTGGAATACATTTTCGCTTAAATCGGATTTCAAAAATACATCGAGAGATATCGAATCCCCTTGGAATTCCCATCCCAATACGACATATATTAGCTTTATAATAGAAATATACTATTTTAATAAAGAAATTAAATCTTATATATAAAAAAAAAGAAGGAACAACAAAAAACTTTCAATTATAAAAATCGATTTAATAAAGTAAAATTAATAATATTTTTTAAAAAAAATTATGTTTATATTTATAACGCCTTCTTTACAAAAGTCTACATTAAGGCATAAACGATATTTTTTTTAAAAAAAATTATCTAATCAATCGAGAGTGCATTTTTATGCTTCCTTAATAACCTTTTGCAAATTTGAGAAATTTTGCCCGCGAATTTTTGAACTAATCATAACTTATTTATATTATAGGCTGTTCATATAAATTAAAAAAAAATATATCGTAAAATTGTCTGTATTCGGTCTTTTTTGCATATAAACTTGCATTACTTTAGAATTGCTAACGGTATAATGAATTATAATATAAATAAGAATTATATTTAATAAAAAAATTTATCTTAAAGGTAGATAATAAATTGTCTCGTTGGAATTTTTTGGTATATTAATAATGATGACAATGGTATAATATTTTGTAAAAATAAAACGGTCTCCTCTTTAAAAAAAAAATTATATTATTGGCTTGCCCAATTTTTAATCTATTTTTTAAAAAAAGGTTAAACTTTAACATTATCTCAGAAGTAAATTATCTTCCCAACATTTACCAATATATTATTATAATAATACACACTAGATATTATACGCTACAAATCCTTAAATGAATAATATAAGGGCTAATTTTAAGATATCTTTTGAATGATAAAAGGCTAAACCACTGTACATTATGAGAAAGTAAAAAAACCAACAATTAAAACACATTTTTTTATAAGTAGAGTTATTATAAATCTATGGCTTTATGGCTTGGAATAACTGAGATAATTTCTTATAATTTGCAAATTGCATATTTATGTACTTATATATTAATGGCGCATTAATATTAAAGTTATTTCAATGTTATGATTAATAATAAAAAATCGATATTGTACGAATTACCTATCCTCATGGTCATGTTTTTTTTACTTTAATATTTATTTATTATATAAAAAATGATACATATATTATTTTAAAGTCTTGTCCATTTTTAATATTAAATTATTTCTTTTATCAATACCCTTGACTCTGAACAGAATATACAATTAAATTTTAATAATATAATTATATTGATGACTAATATCTAACAGACTAAAACTCCGTTATTAGTTAATAATTATGAATAATATATAATCGATATAAATTAATTTAAATCTATAATATGATATAAATAACGAGCATAAGTGTATAATTGTCGTTACAGTCAAATTAAATTCAACATTTTCTTCTAAATCAAGCAAATAAGCCCTTGTTTAATTTAATTAGTTCCTCAATTGTATTTAAAAAGAAGTTTTGGTCAACATAGATATGATTTGATAAGCATTTTTAACAGAATTCTAATAAGGAGTGGGGCGGCCTTTACATTATCTCCATTACTATGAAGAGAGGATCATCTTGATCTTTCAGTCTATCTTTATAGATTAGTAATGTTATAGAGTGTTACAACAATTTTTTGAAATATATTTGCAATTATTCTAATTAGTTTTGTAAACTGTCGATTTGAGATTTTTAAAAGCAGCGAATTCAATATTTTATCCAGTACAAAATTACGCAAACATGAAGATTTGGTCATAGATGGAAGATTTGTCATGCATTGGCGAAATCTCGAGGATTGGACAATATATGTCAGCCGTTTTAAAAAATAGGCTCAAATCGAGCCGTTTAAGGACCCAAATTCCACATGCAAATTTACTTGCAAAAATTATTTAAAAAAATATAGAAATTTTATAAATATATTATTTCCATAACTTTTACAAGATAACTGATATCCAAAAAATAATCGCAACTTTGTAATACATTTATTAATCTTAATGTCTTATTTTTATTTATTTAAGAAATAAAAAACCTCAGTAGAATAATGCCTTTCAATTTAAAATTTTTAGCAATTTGTGCACTGTCCTACCAATACATTTCATTGATTGGGAGTTTAAAATTAAATTAATAATTATTAGATATGTATATATATATATATATTCTATATCGTTGGTGCAGTGATGCAGGTAAGGACAGCATGCACGGTCTGAGCATTTAAAGATTTATTTTTTGAATAATGTTTAAATAGATAAAATATGGCATAATAACTCCATTACGCATGGTATAGATTAAATATATCATTTTCAACCTGACTCTCCGTTATTATTAAAATTTGGAGTCCTCCTTTCCATCGCATTGGTAATTCTCAATATCTTTATGAATAGGAATATGGAATACAAAAGATAGAAATGACGTAAAAATTGAGCAAACATGATTTCGGTTATCGGGAATTTCGTAGAAAAAATTATAATATAAAAAAAAATTAAAAAATATATTTTATTTTTTTATTCGTGGTTTTTTTTTAGATTTATCGCTATACACTACAAATTTTCATTTTTTTTCGTAAAATGTTATTAATGGGAAATATCGAGTTCTTCTTTATAGGGATATTACTCCAGCATTATAATAATATAAATTCGCATTACTTTTAAATATAATATTTATAAGACTCAATAATAACATTTTTTTATAAGTTAATTGTATTTTTATTTTCTCAATAAGATTTTTAAACTATTATATTTTTTTTTATAATGTATAATATTTTTAATATCAAGTATCCGAAAAATTTTATTAACTTTTTAATATTTATATTTTTTTTTTCATTATACATTTTTCCTTGAATATAATACATAATATATTTATACCTTATACCTTTATCTTACATCTATTTAAAAATAAATAATAAAATATAACTATTTTTATTTTATGCTTATTAAAAAAAACAACTATCATCAATAATTTATGATAAATTTAAGATTTAGATGCATGAAATCTCTCGTATATAAATCATGATAATATGGAAAAAAAAACTCCAAAGCTAAAATAAAAATTGAGATGTTATATGATTGGAAAAACTTTTGGTTTTGTTTTATGTAGCAGAATGTGAAATAAATGATTAAAAATAAACATTAAAAATGATTTAAAAAAATAAAAATAAATTTTTACTTATCTCGTTAACATACCTTTAGGATATGAGAGACCTTATATCCATTTCTTTTTACCCTTAAATTTTTATGTATTATCATTACACTGTTATTAAATTAATGTTATAAATAATATAGTTAAGTAAAACAAATAAAATATTATTATTTTATTAACATTGATTATTTAAGTTTTTTTTTTTTGACTTAGGTTAAATTACCGAGTAAGAATCATTTATATATATGTCGTATAGGGATTTGGAATCCTAAATCCTTTATTTAGGGCGATTTAAAAAATTTTAAAATCCGATTTAACCGGAAATGTATTCTGGCATGTATAGAGTATTTACCCTATAAATTTCAGCCAATTTTGCCATGAACTTTAGAACTACTTCTATTTTATATTAATTTTTATATGGATTTTTCATATAAATTAGAAAATACTAAAATGTCTATGGCTGAAATGGGTAAATACTCTACACATGCTAGAATACATTTTCGGTTAGACGGATTTAAAAATTTTTTAAATCGCCTTCAGTAAAGGATTTAAAATTAAGAGATTCGGAATTAATTTTTCTAGAATTACGACTTATCAGAAATCCTTACGTGAAATTACGAATCTCTTAAAAAGCAATTTGAAATAAACTTATTTTAATTTTACCAAAAATATATTCTATCGCGTGTAGAGTAGCTATCCTATGACTTCACGGCAATTCTGCCATGAGCTTTTGTTTTTTTTTAAATTTATATGAAAAATCTATAATATCAATTTATTGTAATTCAAAAGTTTATGGTAAGTCAAAACTCATTTCTTATTAAATCAGTATTTCAAATGTCAAAATCGTCTTGGATAATATTGATTACCTCAATATTAAATGTATCAACTTATTATAATGAATAGATATTTAAAAAAAAATTTATGAGTACCCTAAGCCTTATCTTATATTATAAAAATATCATTTCCTATTTAAATTTATAGTAAAATATATTCCAGTTAGAGTTGTCTTAAATTGATGTTAAAATAATGATTTATATCAATTTCTAATAATTTTAAAATAGAATGTTTTATTATATATATTTTTAATATACTTATATAAAGCAACTTAAAAATCATTAAAAAAAATATAAGATTTTTTAATAAAATATGTTGTACCTGCTGAAAAATTGAAACATCTTTGATGGCCAAAGATAAATGCAGAGTCAGGATTTTCCTAGAAAATATTTTTATAGTATAGGATGTTTTAATAAAAACAACTTATTATTATTTATATGAAATTTGTTACCAAGGGATGGTATCAAAAAATTTGCTAAGTCTGGAACAAATAGGAAATGTATATTTATTACTTTATATAAAATATATGACATCCATAAATATACATTAATATAAAACTTTTCTTAAATAATATTTTTGATTTATCAATCATTTTATATATAAATGCTTTTTTCCAATTGCAAATTATTGTTTGAAATATATGTATACGTTTTTGGGAAAAGGGGTGGGGGCTAAGAAGGATATTTTTTATTAGATTAAAATGATATTCACAAAAAAAGACATATTTCTGAGAGAGCGGGAGAATCTTCCCTTGTCCACCCCCTGGCTATGTTTATGGCCAAAGAAGTTTTACTAAATAAAATCGTAAAAAAGCTAATATGGTTATCTCATTAATAGCATCTGAGATTAACACATCTTCTATTATTTAAACTTTCGATATATAACAATTTCTTTTCGGTGAAATTTTGAGTAACGAAATTATCTAAATCATTCCTATTTTCCTCCTCTATGAATCTATATTCTTTTTACAAAAAGTTGTTCGAATTTTTAAATTATAAATGTAGTATTATATACTAAGAAAAATATTTGTCTCTTCCCCTACAAGGTAGATGAGGAGCAAACTATCCAGAAATATAGCGGAAGCTACAAAGATACATTGCAGAGTTTGCTATTAGTTAATTAGGAAATAAGATCGAAGAACAACTATCATTTATACAAGAAAATTCACAAAGGCTGCAGTTACTCTTTATGACTAATCAGTCTATGAAAAAAAAGAAAACCTTGGTCAAATTAAGAAATTTGCCATATACGGTTGACTACCTGCATCTGACAATATGTAAACTATCGCCCAATGAAGAGATGATTCCGGAAATGTAGCGTGACGGTTATATTTAAAATGTGGGAAGTGAGGGGCAAATCGGTAGAAATAGTCAAATCATTGTCTGTGCTTAAGAGAAAAAAGAAAGAAATGAGGTATTGAGGTGGTGTTAGTATTGAGCCAAAAATAATTTTTTAAAAAAAATAAAGATTTAACTGCAAAAGCATAGATATTCTTGTGGGAAGATCATAGTAGTTCTAAGAATAACAATTAAGAGTGTGATTGTGAACATAGTTTATGCCAAACACAAATTAGTTTTATTGATAAACAGAAAAATTTAGGATTAACGCTTAAGATAAAAATGGCAGTAATAGCTTTGAAACAAAGAATGGTATAGATAAAATGATATTAGAATTTGATCGTTTGCAATTCATAGACTAGAAAAAGTTAACGACATATTAATCCAGATTTTAAAAAAAATTAAAAAAGGCTTGATTCAAATATTCAATGGAAAAATATATTTAACAAGATCGTTTTATAAGATATTTAGCAAAAAGCTCTGAGGATAAATAAAAGATACCAATCAACATGCTAGCTATAAAAGCCGGAAGTCATATATGCAAATAGTATCAATGACAATTTCCGTGAAGAATATTTGGCTTGATTTGAAAAAGGCATGTGGGGACAATAGGATCAGGAGAGAAACACAAGTTGATATACTTTAACGAGTGTCAAAAAAACAATACAAAGGAAAAAGACAAAAATAAAAATTATTACAAAAGAAACTTAACAAGAACCGTTAAACAGACAGCTAAAAACAGAGAGGATGTTATGGATATAAAAAAAAATAACGCTAAAAATATTGTAAATTATGACAGGGCATAAATATGTTTAGAAAAATTACATTAAGATCGATAAATATGGAGTCTAACAATATTCCTTAAAAAAGGTAAAGGAGTTGAGCCAGCCAAGGTTGTTTCTGAAATTTTAAAGACATCTCTAAAAGCTATCGAATTATATGGGCTTATTGACTTATGTAACTTGATGGTAGTCGAAACAACACCAAACAATTGGAAACAAAATTTTCAAATAGTAGGTAACAGAACTCCCTTGTGCCCTATCATACTACAAAGATATTCACGAAATGAAGGTAATAGGATGAATTATAGAAGATCAATATACTCAATATTACTAATATGTTGTTTCATTTGAAATCTGGAAATAAAGGGATAACTTATATTAGATATTTGGATTTAAGTTTTGATAAGGTATACCTAGGTCATTAGATGGCATCATGGAAACTTAAGCAGATGATTAGTTTCAGCAGTGATGGTATATATGAAAAGAAAAGCAAAAAAGGTCGAAGAGGTGAAGGAGATAGCCATAACTTTTAAGTAAAGATTGCATTAATGGGTCTGTTTTAAATTCATTTTGTCGTAGATATAGTGCCCCTAGATACTAAAGACATGATTTGCCATAATTATATAGAAATATTGGCCTGAAATGATGATCCCCAAACAAAAATTATGAATGATAAGGGCTATGGAAGCAGGATTAAACCGAAATACAAGAGAAACTAAGATGAGGATCACAAGTGAAGGAATAGGGAATATCGTTAGCGACTGTATGCCATTATTAATCTTCAGGTCAGGACCCGGCCTAAAATTTTATTTTTTTTTAGACCGGCCTCGGTCTGAATTTTTATTTTTGATCTCAGCCCAGCTCAAAAGCTTTAGTTAGAAAAATATAAATTTCACGCATTTTTATGAATATAGACAAAATCATGAATTGCTTATTTATCAGAAATAATTCCTATCATTTTTTAGAATATTTTCTGTTATTTCTTATACTCTTCTAGTCTGAACCGGATCCTATTTATCTCCGAGCACGGCCAGCCCAATATTTAAAATTTTTGTGGAGGACTATAAAAGAGGTTGCACAAACTTAATAAAATTAAACAGATTATTCTGCAAATCAGAATAATTGTTTCTTTTTGTAATTTCTAACCTAAAAATATCGGTAATTGTTAAGTTCGATATGATATTCCTTTCCAGGGGGAGACCGTTAGCATATGTGAAGAACGTGAATTCTTTAAAATGTAGTATTTTAAAAAAACATAAAAGTTCGAGTTTATTTCTGAAAACTTAAAAAGTAAAAGAAAAAAATATGAAAAATAAATGGCCATCAAATACTTAAAACAAACCATATTATAGTGTCCTAGTTCAAAAGCTGTTTAGCCAAGGCTCAGCAATAAGTATCAAAATTAAGTCTAACCAGGACACAGCCAACCGGCTTCTATTATATAACGTTTTCTATGAAACCAAAAAGCTTATGAAAATTATAAACGCGTTATATTGTATTAAATACTATTTATAGAGCCATATTATCGATACACACAAAATATCAACATATTACAATATTTTTTATACAAATTATATTCTATTTTTTTTAAAAAAAAATCAATTAAAAGACACCGTAAAAATATATCGAAAGAATTTTTTGCATTATTTCTGAATTTAGCTCGACAATTTGAGATGATTTTAAATCATAATCTTTGTAGATATCGACTTTATTATAGCCATAAGCATTATCGTCCGTTTTCAATTTGGTATGGTCAATATTTTTGCTGTCTTTGTGGGTATCGTAAAATCGACTGTGGAAATTGTAATCAACGAAAGATTTGTCATTGTAATTTCCTCTCTGGTAATCGACCCAAACTAAATTTTTAATGGAATTTTCAGTTTTAGTAGTTTCATTATTATCGATTGGTAGTTTTTTATACATTTCCGGCATGCTGTTTAACTGAAAAGAAACGAAGCATAAATGTTGACCGTCACAGCCAATATAGTTGCAGGCTAAAGGGGTGGGTAAAGCGGCACCACCCGATAGAGATTTCTATATTTTTAAAAATAATCTTTTTTTTAAATGCTGATGTAGATAATTTATATATATATATGATGATTAAAATTAATATAAGGTAGAAAAATAATAATTTAATTTGAGCACGCTGGTGTAGGAACTGTCCAAAAATAGCGAAAGTGAATTATAAGAGGACTATCCTCTGCTTAATTAATATTAAAAATTTTTTAAAAATAATAATTTTTTCACAACTCCCTTTATTGTATATTTTTCCATTCAAAGTGATTTTTAGTTGAATGAATTAAATAAAAGTGTCGACTGAGAAGAGAATTATTTTTAGTATATAAATTTAGAATTAATAGATGTAATTCAAAATCACTGATGATAATTCCCATAATAATTTTTTCGAAAAATTGTCAAAAATAATCCTATCCCATAATCGGGGAAAAAAATTGAGGGGGGTTTTCCAGGAAAATATTTTGCGCTTACCATTTATGCTGTTTCTGAATAAAATTTTACATGTTAAATTTTTTTTTGATAATATTATAAGAATTCTCTTATCGATTGACATATTCCTTTTAATAGATAGGCATCCCCTATTAAGGCACTTATTACTTTTTTAAAACAAAATAATTTGTAACATTTTACAAAGTCTTTATCATTAGTAGGGGCTGCACCGATCTACTATTTTTTTCCGACATCGATCCGATATTTGATGATAGATGCTAAATCTTTAATAAAAAATTTGAATATAGTGTGTGAAAATTTCAACTCATTCATAAATGGCATTTTATGAATAAGCTATATGGCTGTGTTCAGATAGGCACCCCCTCTTATTACTTTTTTAAAACAAAATGATTTGTAACATTTTACAAAGTCTTTATCATTAGTAGGCGATGCACCGATCTACTATTTTTTGCCGACATCGATCCGATATTTGCTGATCGATGCTAAATCTTTAATAAAAAATTTGAATATAGTTGTATGTGCAAATTTCAGCTCATGCATAAATGGCATTTTATGAATAAGCTATATGGCTGTATCCTAGGTCGGCTTAATATTTAATAGCAACGATTTAGCCTGGCTAAGTAGCTAAAAAAGCAAAAGAAAATTTTTTAAAAAAACACGAGAATAAAATACAAAAAATAGCAATGTCACCAAATACTTAGAATACCAAAATAGGGTTTCCTCGATCAAACAAGTTTTAGCCTATACTCTATAGTAATTAAATATCCAAATTAAGCCGACCTAGGACACAGCCTTTAAGATGAACTCAATATTTATATAACTAATCTAAACAATTTTTTTGTTAACATAAGTCATTTCTTTTATTTTTGGTCATTCTTTTAAAAATAATTTTTTTAGTATATATATATATATACATACACACACACTAATAATTATAAAGTATGTTTTTTTTCTATGTATAATGCTGTGTTATTTTTTTATCAGCAGTATAATTATTGGACGCCTGCAGAGGTCCCGTCCCCATTCTTTTTAAATAAATTTTTCGGCCCGGCCCGAATTTTTTAAAAATATATTACATTTATTTTCATAGCTAATATTTATGATTGAAAATATTTTTTAAATATAGGGCTCAGCCCGGGTATTTAAAAATTTTTTTTAGGCCCACCCCGGGAATTATATTTTGAAAAATTAACAGCCAGGCCGGACCTGCAGGTCTCTGATAAATATGTACATTAAAAATCGTTTCAATTAATTGTTTTTAATAAAGAGTATTGAAAAAAAAAAAAGAGTAATGAAATAAAGAAATATAATATTAATAAACTTAAATCTGAGATAAAATATCAATGTTGATTATGTATCAATCCTCATAGTCTTTATATACTTAATTACTTCAAACCTATATAGAAAAATTTTTTATTGTGTATTTTATCAAATTTATCATCACTATATTCATCATATATTTTATTAAAACTAGAGTTGGGCAAGTCCTTAAAAAAATCTAGTTACAGATATATATGAGATTTTTATAAAATAATGTACCTCATAAACAGATATAAGTATTTTATTATAAATATCGAAAATATAGAATATATAATACACTCTTATTTTTTGCTAAATAAGAGTATCTTACTTAGATGTAAGATAATTTTTATCTTTCCATCTGCACAATAAGCCGCAAAGTTAACGAGAAGGTTAAGATAATCTCTTGGCTCACAAAAAATGAATATCATCGCTTTACACCGAACTGCTATAAAGAAATTATGTGTGACCAAGCAATAAGAAATAAATAGAGAAATAATACATATTATATTAATTGCTTCAACGAGTTGCAAGATAAGTTCCGAATATATCATATCAAATTCTATAATTTACTTCAAAGGAAGTATTTTAAATTGTTTAGAAATTATAGACGACTATAAATATTCTTATTATGTTCATTTATATAAATTTAATATAAAAACCAAAAAAAAAATATTCTTATAAAAAAAAATTAAAAAAAAAACAATCAACAAATAGAAATTACCCAAATATTACTATTTTTACACCAAGTATTACTGTGATTTAAAATGTTGGATAGCAATTTTATTATACCCTATAAAATAAGATTGTTACAATTATTATCGTAAAATTAGATTATCTTGCAAACTACAGTAAAGTTGGTATGCTATAAAATGATAATAAATTTTTTTTTTCTCTTTAGCTTTCACCTTTTCTGGTGGTAAGCTCCTTCAACATCTCTCTCCACTTTATGTTATTAATACAATCTCTTTTATCTAATTTATACTTCTTTATATTGGCTCTAACTTTATGGCCCCATTGAAGTTTTGGCCTTCCTCTTTTACGCTTGCCCATCACTTCCAAACTCTTAACTTTATTTCCTATGTAGTTCATAGGCCTTCTCATTGTGTGCCCATACCACCTAAGTCTATTTACCATTAATTTAGTCTTAATAGGCACTACCTTTAAACTACTTAGTATTCTTGTACTGCGCACTTTATCCTTTCTTGTTACCCCAGCAATCATCCTCAGCATTCTCATCTCCATGGTTTGTAGACTTCTCTCGTCTGATTCTTTGGTTGGCCATGTTTCCGAACTATATAGAATAGTTGGTTGTATTATGGAACTGTAAATTTTTCCCTTTAATTTGTGTGGGATTCTTTTATCAAATAGCACTCCAGATAAAGATCTCCACTTTAGCCACCCTTGATTAATCTTACTCTTTATCTCTTTTTCTATTGTGCCGTTTGTTTGTATAGTGGAGCCCAAATATTTGCAGCTTTCAATTGCCGATATCTGCCATTCATTTATATCAATACTCTCTGTTTCATCTCCTCCTATCACCATATACTCCGTCTTTTCTCTATTTACTTTTAATCCGTGCGTTTCTAGGATATTTATCCAACTCAATAGTCTTTCTTTCATTTCATCCTTAGAATCGGCAAGTATCACAATATCATCTGCAAATATCATATTCCACGGGACTGTTTGAGGTATAGACTGTGCTAATACATCTATTACTGTAATGAAGAGAAGTGGGCTGAGAGCCGACCCTTGATGAACTCCTTCGGCTATTGTGAAGCCTGCTGAAGTACCTGTTGTGCTACGGACCATTGTTGTATGGCCCATATACATATCCTGTATTATTCTTATATATTTTTCGGGAACATTTTTGTGGCGTAGCGCCCACCAGATAAGTTTTCTTGGGATTCTATCAAAGGCCTTTTCTAGATCGAGAAAGACCATGTGTAGCTTTTTGTTCTTTTCCCTGTATTTTTCACTCATTTGCCTAATTGCGTGGATAGCATCGGTTGTTGATCTTCCAGGCATAAATCCGAACTGAGTCTCTCCTATTTCGATTATATCTCTTAATCTTTTTTCTATTATTTTTTCGTATAGTTTTAGACAGTGTGACATTAGTTTTATGCCCCTGTAATTTTGACAATTATGTGGATCCCCTTTATTTTTGAAGATAGGAACTAGATAGCTCTGCCTCCATTTTTGGGGAACCTCTTCATTTCCAAGTATCTTATTGTATAGATTTGTGAGGAGATGTATTCCATCATCTCCTAGTGCTTTAAGGCTTTCTATTGGAATATCGTCTGGACCCCTAGCTTTGTTGTTTTTCATATGCTTGAGGCATGTGATTATTTCTTGTTGTGTTATAGGTTGTACAAGGTTTTGACAAGGGGAGTGTTCGTCTAGATGCAGTATGTACGGATTAAAGTTGAGAAGCTCCTGAAAATATTCTCTCCATCTACTCATTATTTCTTTTTCCTTTATTATCAATTTCCCATCATTATTTTCGATTACTTTCGGAGCTCCGTTTATATCCCTAGAGTTCTTTTCTCGCTGTTTGGCTAATCTGTATATTTTATTTTGTCCTTCTTTGGTATGTAGATCTTCGTACATGTCATCGTATGCCATAGATTTGGCTCTAGCCACCGCTTTTGTAGCTAATCTCTTGGATTTTTTGTATCTTGTCTTGTCATCTGCGTTTTTGGATTTGTACCATATTTTATAAAGGGCTTTTTTCTCCTGTATAGTGGTTTGTACCTCTTCATTCCACCACCATAGTTCTTTATATGATTTGTTGCCTCCTCTTGTCAAGCCTAGTGTCGATTTGGCAGTGTCTATTAATCTGGATGAAAGGTCTGTCCACATTTTTTCACTGACTTGTGAGGAATCTATTGTTTCAATGTTTGCATTGATTGCAAAGGCATCTGTCATTGTTTTTAATTTGCCCCATTTGATGCATGGTTCCAGTTTTATCTTGTTTTGAGTGGATTTATTTGAGATGTGTAAATCCATGACTAGTAGCTTGTGTTGTGCGGCGATATCTTCTCCTGGGATGACTTTGCAGTCTATTACATCTTTTAATCTTCTGCAAGAGAATAGTATGTAATCTATCTGTGTTTTCCTTGTACCACTTTCGTATGTTATTAAATGACAATCCTTTTTCCTATAGGTGTTGGTTAAGGCAAGGTCGAAGGTTTGCGCAAATTTTAGTATATGCTCTCCTTCATCATTTCTTTCTCCATATCCAAAACCACCATGATGCCTTTTGTAGTTATCTCTTGCTTTCCCCACATGCGCATTTAAGTCACCACCAATTATGACTAGGTCATCCTTAGGGATTTCCATTACAGCTTCATCGAGGATAGCTCTAAAATCATCTTTCTCTTCTTCTTTGCAACCCGTTTGAGGAGCATATAATGAAAGGATGTGTAGTATTGATTGACCAATGCAGAGTTTTATCTTCATTAGTCTATCAGAGATCCTGTTGACTTCTACAACTGAGGAGGTTAGATCTTGACTGAGGATGATGCCGACACCGTTTCTATTGCTAACAAGTCCATTATAGTACAATTTATACCCATCTCCAATCATCAAAATCTTCTGTCCTTTCCATTTCGTCTCTTGTATGCACGCTATATCAACTTTTCTCTTGTTCAACATTGATGTTAATTCTCTCGTCTTACCTTTAAGCGTCCCAATATTCGAACTTGCTAATCTTGTTTTCTTTGCTTTGACCTTTACTTTACTTTTCACAGGATGGAGGTCTACACCCTGCGCGTCGCATGGTGGGAACGCCCTAGCTTTCATATTCATATTTTCATTTGTGTCCTTCATTTTGTTTATTGGACAGGTATCCTTAGCACCCGGCTGTCCAGGGCTGTCGGTGACCGGGGTGTCATCTCTAAGCTCCGAAATTCATCATACCATATGTCTTTACACATCAGTCATCGAAGAAAAACTTGAAAGTTTTTATGGTTCTTACCAGGATTGAACCTGCGTCCTTGTTCATACTCGTGTTTCCAAGCGTACATCTTACCCATTAGGCCACTTAAAATATAAAGATGGGTAAGAAAAACAACAAAATTAATATAAAAAAAATCCACGGAAAAAATATTAAAGAGAGTATTAAACTTTTTAAACAACAATTAAAAAGTACTTAAAGGGATCCAAACCAAACATGAACCGTTAAACCGGTATTTTTTATCGAACCTGAACCGCTAAAAGATTTTCAGTTAAAATGCTTGTGAACCGGTTCGAACCTCATGATTTTGTGCTTAAGAAATGGTATGAAAGTTTTTACTAGTACATTGCTAAATTCTGATTTATATTCGAATTGTTTTAAAGTTTATTATCAAACAATTTTGATTGGTGTCAGTCACAATTTTTATAAGGTTAGTATATTACCATTTGATATTTTAAAGCTTATAATGCCTGATATAATATTATATGACACATTAAAATGCAATATTACTGATGGTGACACAACTTAAGTGTTCAAACCAGTTTTTAGAAGTTCGAACCGGCCCGATATTTTTATTTTTAAAGAACCTAACCCGAATTGAAACGTTATTTTTATCCAAACCTGAACCGATATCATTTCGGTTCAGATCCCTGCTTAATCTATATCTTTTGACAAGTATATGAGTCTTTTAAAAATAAGGTACCTCAGATACAGATAATAAGTATATTAAAAACGCCAAAAAGATAGAATACAAGATATAACAGGATTCACTGTACTTCCCAACTACAAGTATAAACATTAAATAATAAAAATAATTTAAGAAGGTATTAATAGTATTTTATATTTTACTATTAAATCATATAACATTTCTCGCGAAATAGCTCAAAAGACGAAATATATTTAAAAAATTTAGCTTATTATATTTTAAGTGGAATTTTTTATTGATAGTCTGCCCGCGGTCGGCCGGTGATGCTGCTTATGTCGGAGTTATTATCATGCAAATCGTCATTTTAAGATATTTATCAATTACACAATATTGTAAAAAAAACAAGAAAAAATTAACTTTAATCCAATATAAGGCTATGTCCACATTTTTTTAAAAAAAATTCGAAAAGTTTTAAAACTTTTTTTCATGAATTATAATTTGGACACATTTTTATTTTTATATTTAAAAAAGCTTGTTTATTTATTTTCGTTAAAATTTTGAAAGTTTAAGTATTTAATTATTTGATATTTTGAACATAGCCTGAATAATTAATGCCAAACTTATTAAAAATCGATATTTCCAGTTTTAAAAAGGTTCGGCCAATCCAATCTTTTCTTAAAATGGTCTATATCGGTGCTAATACATTACATCTATTATGGATGCAGCCCTAATCATTGGGTGTGCAAAATGGTTTTTTACTAAATTGACAAAAAAAATTAAAGATTAATCTTAGAAATACTTAAATTAATAAATAAAGAAAATAACCCCATATAAACGTCTGGCCAATGTGGCCAGATGTCCGTAGGTTGTCATCATGCCTTTGGCCACATATTGAGGGGCTGTCCATTGTCGGGTAGGGTTAGAGTCGAAAATTAAATGGGGATGCACATACCCAAACTTGTCTAATTTATCGTTTTCCTCATCATTTTCTTTACATTTATCTGGTAACTCGTCATCAATTTTGTTAAAGTCTGTGATATAATCTTCGATTAAATTTGGTTGATCTGTAGATAAAATGTTATTTTCGAGTGGTATGTCAACTAAGGGAGAAATTGGAAACATATTGGGAAGGCTGAGTTTTGATTGGGTGATAAATTTATGGATCATTTCGTTGGTAGGAATGAAAGGAGAAAGGGCATTTTTACTGTAAAGAATGTAAGAATTATGAGCAGTTATACGCATTGGGTAAGTTTTATAATGTAATTCGTGATGATGAATATTTTGGTCATCAACCGATTCCAGGCTGCCATCATAACAGGGAAGAACTTATAAATGACATATTTTTTTTATAAAATGTAAAAAAGAGATTTAATATTGAGGGGTGTGCCAATCCACAAAATTTTTACTATGATCCAATATTTTCCGAAATCAGAAGAAAATTTAGATTAATTTTTATCTACTATATATCTTTTAACCAATGTCATAAAGCAAATCAATATTTTATATGCAAAATAATTGTTAACAATAAGCAAAACAAATTGAAATTTTCCATTTCTCATTGCCAAAGCAATGTTTGGCTCATAATCACGAATAAGTTTATTTTGTTTTTTTTAACAATCTTAAAATAACAAAAAACATTAATAATATTGGATCAGTGTTTTTGAAGATTTAAAAAATGGAAAATATTATCCCCAATATAGTATGAGTCCTCATAAAAACTAGGGCTGATATTAAATATTAGATCAAATCAGCACCAATATTTAGATTGTTCAAAAATATTTTGTTTTTGGTTATTTTATGATTGTATAATTATATATTTTATTTTAGAAATAATTAAAAAATAATAAATTAATGAGAGGAACTAAAATACAATTTATTTTAAAAAAATAGTTAAAAATTTTACACTATTTTTTGTTATATTATCTGCAACAAGAAAAGAATTTTAAAATATCTAACCAGTCACATTCAGCTAGTGTTGTTAAATGGCTAGATTTAACCAATTTTTAAAAGGTTAACTCAAAATTTTGGCCAACATTATATTCAAGCTTATTTATTTTGCTCATATAGGTAGAAAGGTTTGGATTTCTATTGGCGAAATTTCAAGGATTAGTTTATAATTATAATATTTTGGCTAACACTTTGATATAGCTCTTTTTAAAAATAGGTTAAATGGAGTTGTTTAAAAATAACACTGTAAACGTTACAAATACTTTAAATTAGGGCTGTGCCGATCCATATATTTTTCACCGATCCCATCCGATATTGCTTCAAACCCGATCCGATATTTTTACTGATTTTTAAACACCTCCGTTTGAACCAAATGTAATTAAGAAATTAATATTTTTTATGCAAAAAATCGAATTATGAAAAATTTAATTTTTTTATTCTACAATTAAGACTATAATAAAAAAATATATATTTAATAATATATCCATATCCATTTTATGTTGGAATTATAAAATTGTAATATTTAATATATAAAATTATAATTAGATTTTTTTAATAAATATGAAAGCCTCTAGATTTTCTGGGAATAAGCTTCTACGATATGGACTATCTATATCTCCTGTCGTACTGAAGGCAGACTCAGATGATTCCACAGATAACGCATTTTGCAAAATTATCTTTGTCTTTTGTAAAATATTTCCATAATTCAGATACCATATTTAAAAAAATTCTTTTATTTAAAGTATAAATAAAAAAATTGGCGTTTTTAAAAAGATTTAAAATAAATAAAACTTTGGGTGTTCCTTTTATTTTTATAAAAAAATTTTTTTTAAATACTATAAATCTATTTTATAAAAAAAAATAATAAAAATCTATTTTAAAAAAGAAATAAAATTTAAAAAATTATTTAGAAAATATTATAATAATGTAAAATATATATACATAACATAAAATAAAATAACAAAAAAAAGAAAAGTAAAAAGATCGGATCGGTTTTTTAACAGGTATCGGCCCGATCCGATATTTTCGGAAAACGCTAAAATCGGTACCGATCCGATCCGATATTTAATATCGGCACAGCCCTACTTTAAATGAGATTATTAGCTTTTGCAGAATAAAAAACAAAATACACTTAAATCATTCATGAAAGTAGTTTTTTTATAATAAAAATATGGATATTTGCTAATATATAAATGGTAAATAAAAAATCAATATAAATATTGGGGTATCGGGGTTTTTTAGTAATATTGGATTGGATTTATGAAAAATTTGTGGACCATCACAACCCTACTAAAACCCTAACTGTATTGCATGCTTTATTTTTCACAAGAGTGCACTTACAAATTGTCTTAACTTATATAATATTTTGGTCTCGTAACAAAATATAAAGTTGCAGACTCTATACAGTGATGCATGGTTTTACAGCCTAATAAAACTAAAAAATTATATTATTCTATATTTGTAGAAAATTCGGCCCCAACAAATATGTAGGGTTTAAGGTTATAAATTGATAAATGACTGAAAATAACCTTTATGGATTAAAACATCAATTGGTTGATTATAGGATGAAATTCTATTATTTTGGTTATTGATACTCTCTTGAGAAGATGTGGATATCACACTGTCGAAGGATTGACAAAGTTTGATCAGATTATTCCCAAAAACTTTACTTTTAATATTGAAATTATATTTAGCTATTAAAAATAGCAAAATTGATTAACAAAAGAAAACTTAGCATAATGACTTTAGATTTCCAAGACTTGCACATTTTTGTTAAACATTATAAAAATTAAACCCTTAAATGTATATATGATAATTTACCTAGTTACATCTTCAGGGATACTTTTAATAGGAGGGTATGATAATCTAAACTTGTCTTTTATAAATGGATCAACTTTTATAAATCTTGGATCCCATTTTCTAGATTGATATATAAATTTTTCCAAAATTTTTAAAAAATATTCATTTATTTGTCTTTTCTGTTCCTTGTTACTCTCCATTTCTATTGATGTATTATTTGGAATACAATATAATTTATTAAAAATTGTCAAAAAATCATGACAAATTTTTGTATCATCAAACATATTTTTATATGTTGGAGGTGTTTCTACATCAATGATCAATGAATCAGTAAGAATTTGAGCTTGAAAAATGTCTAAATTTATGCATAAAACAAATTTTATAATATAATTTAAATTTATGTGTAACCTTGAGTTAATTGAATACTTTCATTGTATTTATAATCAGTGTTATTTAAGATTACAGATTTTTCTTTAAATAAATCAATCCAATTAAAAGTGGGGGGTACATATGGATTTGCCATATCATAGATCTGCATTAAATATATTTTGTAAAAATCAAATTACTAATTATAAAACTGAATTCAATATATATTATGGAATAATATCTTATTATATTTTTTTAATTTAAAAACTTTAATTGAATCAGATTGAAAATTTCCAGGGTTATTTTTATCAATAATTTCAAATCCCTTTTCCTCATAATATTTAGGTATTTGAAGAGGCTGCATATGTTGCCTCTTTTTTGAATTCCACATTCTATTCCATAAATATACAGATCTATCCTTTTTACAAAATCTAGTCATGCTTATCTAGCAATTGGAGAATGTTAGAAAAAACATGTGACTTATTGGCATGACAGCTAGTTATTTGATATGATTTTCTTAAATTTATTTATTATAGATATGACAGTGATGTTAAAAACCTCATTCGGGTCGATCTTTCAAAATGGCCAGATTAAAATTTTAGCTAAAATAATATTTATAAGTACTGAGGTTTTATAGATGTCCAAGCATTTCTGCTAATGAGCAAATTCTTAATGCTTATAATATTATTTGGTTATAAATTTAATGGTGGTAAAATCGACCCAAATCGGGCTTTTTAACAAAACTAGATATGTCATATTATAATTTATGATACCTAAGTTATAGAATTTTATATTTTAGAATATCTCATTTTAAAATAATGTATATAATAGCTTTTATGGAATATCAATTTAATTAATAAATTATTATTTAATAAAAATGTAGTTCGATATCATTTATTACAATATCCACTTCTTAATATATTGTACTGAAATAAGGGGATGCTACATTTATATATCATCAAAATATGTGCTATATTTTCTATAACTTTATTATATTTTTATAAAAATATCAATCTACACATTTTTAAAAAATATAAATATGAATTTAAAAAATTTACATAAATTCATTTCTTTGTTTTCTTTCAGCTGTATTTTTTTTGATAAAATTTTATTTACACACGATTCCTTCTCTATATTTTAATATATGAAATTGGAAACACTCCGATATTGTATGTCCATTTATATTTATGAACATTAATCAACTTATTTATTCAAGCTCTCTCGATTATCTGCCTTGATCAAATTTATAAGATGAAAGACCCTTTTACACTCAACAATACTGCAAGATAAAGTATCCACGCCACGTAGTTAAGGAAATTTTTAAATTGTTCAATAAGAATATCTTCATCGATATAAATTGTCGAAGCCCAGCAATAATGAATCTTTGGAAGATTCATTTTATTTTATTATTGCCAAAGGAAGCATCTAGGTTCTAAGTTCAATTTTATTTTTCTGAATTTTTTTTTAAATCTCCACAAAAAATTGATAAAATGACAGAAATCAAAGTTTTTATTTTAGTTGATGATAAAACATAAAATGAAAATAGAAATAAGGAAAATAAAAATTTTGAAAAATAAAACCTTTAACTTCTTTATTTTTAATGTAGGTATATTAGCGGTAATGCGTTTTTCCTGTATGTGTTATTTTTCCAAGCATTTTATTAAATTTAAAAATCTGATTTTACTGAAATGTATTTCAGCATGTTTGAAATACCTATCTTATAAATTGCAGACAATTTTGCTATTAACCTTTAAGTCCATTTATAATTTATATAAAAAATCAATGAAAAATCTAACATAATTTATATTGTTTACATATTCAAAAATATGAGAAAAGAAAAAAAATTATTTTAGGGGGCTTAGCCCTTCCTCGAAATTTGGAAAACTGACTACCCCCGGCACCCCTGGTTTTAGGATTGAAGGGCGTAATTCGGCGAAAAAGAAATTAGCGCTTAGGAATGTATAGAAATTTTACAAATAAATAGAAATTAATTTACCAAATCTGACTAGGCATATATTCATTTAATTTTAAACAAAAGCCACTTTTTTTTATGATATTCTTAATAATTTTTCATGGGAAATTTTATCAATTTAATTTTATTAATATATAAACGATACCTTTTCTGCTTTAATCCAAGAGGTTAGTTTTTTCAAAATAATTTTTTTTTATAATTCACATGTATTCGCTAATCAAAGTATTAATTATTTAAATAAAGGGTCTGACTCAGACACTTTATTCAACAGTAAAAAAAACCTCAAACAATTCTATTCTAAAAGCTTCCATCTTTTAGATTTCCTTGTCAAAAAATTCGAAAAATACTTTTTCTACAATTTCGATTTTGAGTATTTTTAGAATTAAGGCGCTAATTAAAAATGAACATTAAATTGGAAAATATATCACAACTATTAGTAAACCTAAACATTATAGCAAAAAATAAATGATTATTGTATTCCGTAACTTATGCAGTGAATTAAATAATTTTTATCAATCTTTTTAGCTTCATTTGGATAAAATATAAATAAAATTTATATTAACTTTTGGTTTCCATTTTTTAAAGGTAATTTTTTGTTTAAACTAAAAAATATTTCTTTTAATTAATTTTAAATTGGAAGATTAGGAATTCCCTTTTTAAAATATGTTCGGTGGCATCTAAGGTAAAGAGCAAAATTGCAATAACTTCGATATATGAACATCAATCAAAGCCTAACACATGAGATTAAAAGAAAATTACCGAGGTGAGTGTTGTCCTGTAATGAAAGATAATAAAGTAATGGATTCAAGGGAGAAAGAATCGGAGGAGAAAGAATTCGAACATACTGCCATTCATTACAGGGGTATAATGGTAAGTGCCAAAACGCTTATAAAAGAAGCCTTAATTCATACAAACAGGTTGTCTGAATCAGTTCATGAATATTTTTTTGAACGAGATATTAGACCAGACTCAGCCCTTATAATTTTTTTGTATTTTTAAATGTGAATTTTGACAAAGCCGAGCCAAAAAAGTTAGAAAAAAAAGTTAAATTTACCTTTACTTAAACAAATGTTTACTACAAAAATAAATTGAATTCTTATAAGCTGGTATTTAGGATTTATGCTAAGAAATCATATTTTCTACTTAAGATCCTTATTTTCATTATCCAAAATGCTTATGAAATTAACCAAAATTAAGTTGTAATTTTTATATATAATTAGCTTAAATATAAAAGTATTATAATATTTTAAACAATAAAATAATAGAATTATTCTATACGTATCATTATTAATAAATAAAAATACATTTCAATTTATTATAGCCTAAAAAACTAATGGTTTAATAAGTCGCTTGCCGTGGTTCGCCTAACCCCTCTATTGAGGTTTGTGGGCAAAATTTCAACTTTTACAAAAAATAAAATTTCAAAAATATGATTATATTTTTAAAAATATTTATATGGCACCTTTATAGAGTATAGTTATAGATATTGATTCTTACATTGTTCTTTATAATTTCTAAAAAAACACAGAATTATAGCCGATTGGGTTCTAATAACCCCAGTCCCTGCCATGTGAAAAAAAATTTTCAAAGAGAGGCATAGGCAAATTTAAATTTTATTTAAAAAATAATTTTAAAGGGTACAAATATTACATAAATTATCTTATAATTAAGCAATTCAATCATTTATTAAATGTTATTTATATTTTAGTTTTACTATGATAATTTGGATGAAAATCATTTATATTTTAATCGGTCTATTAACGAATTTTAATTTAAATATGACTAAAGGAGTATTATTTAGCGCATGAGAAAAGGATATCCTAAAATAATCGGAACATGTAACTTTAAAAAAAATGTGCTCCTCCCCAAAAGGCAAAATGTTTAATTACAGTGTTGCCGACTATATTGCTTAAGGTTTATTAAAATGGAGGCATATTTCCAGAAGATACAAATATCAATTTTATTATTCTAATTCTAATAACTTGAATAATTAAATAGTTAACAAAGACAATTGCGAAATTCAGTTTAAAGGTAAAACCGTCAATTTTTTTGAATCACAGATATAAATGTCATGAACAAAATCTGGATAAAAAGACACCGGACAAAAATATTAGTTTTAGAAATTTGTTTTAAAGTACTTAAAATAAGAGGTAATTTTATAAATAGTCACCCTTTTAAAAAACATTTAATTATTTTTTTTGAAAATTAAGGTATATTTGTCCAGGAAATTTCTGTCCGTGATTCAGTTTTTATTAGCTCATTGGTTAGTAAAATTGTTTAGAAAAAATTTAACGATTTAATAGTTTTTAAGTTTAGAATAGATATTCATAAATATGCCATTTCAATAGAAATTAATTACTTATTTCTGTGTTTTTTTAATATGTTAAAATGTTAATTTTCTTTTATTTCTGCATGATTTTTTTATTTCTAAACTAACTAACATTGTCGTTAATGGGGAATATATATTTTCTTCTATATAAATAAATTTTTGATAAAAATATATGATAATATGAAAATGTTAATAATGAGTAAATGATTAAATAGTTATTAAAAATAAAAACCCCTTAAGAATTTCATTAAAAATTTAACGTAAAAGCTTTATATATTTTTTTCATTACTATGCGGTAATTTTTATTAATTTTTTAAAAGATAAAAATTTATTTCTCACTTGAAAAATATATATTATAAAAATCTAAAAGCCGCTCGTAATAGCTATTAATTTTTTTTAAAAAAAAAACCATATTAGTAAGTTTTTGGCTAAAGATAAAATTTATATAATCATATTATATTCCTTAATTTAGGACATCCTTTTGTAAAAGAAATGTTTAGATGTAAATCTACTAGATGAGGTTGATTTGGTATTATCATTTTAGAATTTGGGAGAAAAATTTTTTTTACACGGGCCCAAAAAGATTATAGAGCCGAATCTCCCTAACTGAGCACCAGGAAAATCTAGGTTGCCTTAAAGACAAATCATGTTTGTCTATTTTAATAACTGTTGCTGGACACAATTACCATATTAATTTGGTCAACAATATTTTGGAATAATTTATATATTTATCGAATATTATAATTCTATGTAAATATAAATAATAATTTTGTTAATAAATCTCTATATGAAAAATGATAATAACAACGAAAGACTGAGTGGCTGTTAAAGATTTAAAAATTTTCCTATGATCATGCATTACTTTTATAAATTTGGGATTTAACAATTATTAAATTCATTACGCTGGGTTAAGTTATTAAAAGATTGAATCTATATATACCCATCATAACAATTCCCTCTCCTCCCACCAAAAATGTAAATTTTTATAAAGTCCTCGAATAATATTCCTTAATTTAAAAGTAAATCTTTCAAAAGCATAGCCAGGTTAGAATTTTAGAATCATTCACTACATAATAATCTCTCTTGTTATCACAATTTTATTTCAAATTTCAAAAAGGATATGGATCTCAAAATA